TGACTACTTTTTTAACTACTTCACACTTGGGGTGGTAAGTTATGATGCCTTAGAAAAGTATTTCCTTTCCACTGGGATAGGAGAGCATAACTGTGTGACTGTAACCATGCCTGGGAATTGAAGAACTTGGCCTCAGGTGGCTTTGCTTGACAGTATTTACCCTACAGTAGACATTTCCTTCCACCAGGAGTGCCAAGAAATGCTAGGTTTTCTGATTTGTCTTTACTTCTTTTCTAAGGGAAACATGCTGTCCTTAGAGGATTGGTACAGAATCATTGCTGCAGCCCTGTACCATGGATCTAAGGCACAGAGATGGTAGCTGCCATTAGTGCTTACAAGTCCAACTGTTAGACAAGATGCATATGTGAGAAATGGTTGTATCAGCCAGTATATCAGCAAGGAGTGCCTCAGGGCAGGGCTGGTTTAGATCATGGATCTTGTTAGCTTTGAGGCCTCTATGGTCTGATGTCCTGAATCAGAAAGAGTAGATTCCAGAGAGAGGAGACTGGCTTTTCCTATCTGAGAAAGACCACAGATAACCAGGAATTAGGGGAGAGCTGCTGTGGAATCAGAAACTGGGAGTAGGATGGATGGCAGGAGGGACTCAGTGCTGTTACACCTTGACTCCCACATTCAAGGGCCAATGATAACAGGCAGCAAAGTAGATGGCAAGAATGGACAGCTTTAGTAAGACTTTACTGGCATGTGAAATGGGGATGGATTTAGAGGTAACCCTAGGTCTTAAGTCTGAGCAGCTAGCAAAGGCTGGGAAAGTGTCAGTAGCAGCAGGACGTGTTCAATGGATATCATCACATATAAGTCTGAGTCCTCAGAAATCAGGTGGAATTTTAGTTCCAGGGGTTACCAATTTCCATAGACTATAATGGTAGACAGGAGGATTTGGCAGATCATGACATTCAGAAAGTTAGAAAAGTCCCTGCCCTGCCTCAGGAACTCTGCCTACCTGTTGTTTGTTTGTTTTTGTTTTTTAAAGTAGAATATATTTATTGAGAGAAAGAAAGCTTCTGTCTGAAGAGAAACAGAATGGGTCCCAAGAGGGTTACCCTGCCTACCTGTTTTCTATCCTAGGACATCCTTTTTGATGCAAATACACACAAAGTGAAGAAGTTTGTTCTACATACCAATTATCCTGGGCATTATAATTTTAACATGTGAGTATACCCTAACCTTAACCCTGTACCTCTGAGAAGTATTCTTTGGGTTGAAAATCTCAAGGAAAAAGAACTTACGGTTTTGAGTATTCACTAATTTATCTCTACCTAAATTTTTTTTTTTTAAATGCTCTACCACTGAATTATAGCCTTTACCTAAATTCTTTCTGTTTCATGGGAAATGAACCTTTACTGATTGCCTGCTGTGTTCCTGCAACAATGTCTAATGCCTTAAATTTCTCTATTTGTACTTATTTACAAATAGTAAATAAGGATCAGAAACCTTGATATATTGTCCAAGGTGATAGGCTCCTTAGACAGACTGCAGGGCAATACCTTTTTCTGTCTAGTTCAGAGCCTAAATCTGGCCTCCTCCAGTGAATACTATGTCAGGGGCACAGAGCCAGGACTTACAGCAAGTATGCATGATTCTAATTTTTCTGGGGTGCGTGATTGGGATACGGAAGTGATCAGGACTTACAGGAGGCCTAGCCTTAACTTTTCTCTGCCTTCTTTGTAGTTATCACCGCTGTGAGTTTAAGATCCCACTAGCCATAAAGAAAGGTGAGTAAGGAGTGTCATCAGAGTAAAAGGGGTTTCAGAATCACTTTGCCACTCAGAGAAGAGGAAAAGATCCAAGCAAAGAAGTTGGTAGTGGTTAGACTAGTGGTGCTTTTGCCCAGTTGCCCATAGGCTCAGTTTTTCTGGAATTAGTCTCTTTTTCTGGGAACTGGATTTTTCTTGGCTTCACGGTCTTTGCATATGACCAAGAATAGGGACTGTTGGCCTCTGAGGGAGGAGCACTTATTATCTATAGATGGTCGTCCAATACCCCAAACCCATCACCGGTCCCCATTACTCACTGCCAGTCTATGTAACTCCACCTGACCCCCTTCCTTTTACCCCTCCATCTCTTATCCCCTAGAGCTCCAAACAGCTTATGTTCCCTGCACACTCCAATCCCAGTGCAAAGAGTGCTAACCCTGAATTCTACCCAGGACTGGGGCCCAGGGGAGTTGGCCAGCTACCAGCTTGCTTCCTATGTTCTCTTTTCAGAAAATGAAGATGATCAGACAGAAACTTGCACAACCTATAGCAAGGTGAGCTCCTATTTTCCTACCTGACAGCCAAGAATGAGATAGGCATGAGCCTGCCCCTATTCTGGGGCCATGTTCTCTGAGCCAGCCATATGGCACAGGTGTATTTAGATCCCTGCTAACCCCTACAGTCTGCTGTCCTTCTTGCAGTGGGACAATATCCATGAGCTCTTGGGCCACCCTGTGGAGAAACCTGTTATCCTGCATAGGTAAGTGGACAGTTTATTTCTGACCCTTCCCCAGGGAAGCTTGCCAGTGTATTGCTTAGAAATGATGGAAGCTTGTGATATTGCCAAAACATACTTCTTGGCCAACCCTACACATTAGGACTAGACCAACTATTATTCTCCTTGTTTGTCTGTAACAGATGAGTTGCCCCATATATCTCCCTAACCCTACTTCCCTCTCACCCGTAGTTATTCAGAAAGGGAAAAACTAGCTTGGGTCTTCTGGGCTGTTTTTCTTCCCTCATCAGAGCTGCTACCTAGGGCCAGGGATATAGCTCAGTGACACAAGCACCTGCCTAGCAAGTGCAAGGTCCTGAGTTTGATTCCCTGTACCAAAAAAAGCTGCTACCTGCAGGCCTAATCCTGGCTGTCTTGAGACTGTCTTTCACCTGTGGATCCTGTTCAGATCCACAGTGACTTTTTGTGCCATGTTGGACTGTAGAATTCTGAGTTGGGCGAAGTCACACTGAACCCCATCACATGAGGGCTATGTGATAAACAGTTATATACTAGCAATCATGTGAGACTGCTGGCCAGTAGCCTACATCTCGAAAGGACTGGATGGTCTTCTGGCTTTGCCTTTTGTCTATACTTCTTAATTTTGGCTTCTGTGGCCTCAGGTCTTCATCCCCAAACAACACCAACCCATTTGGCTCCACATTCTGCTTTGGTCTTCAGCGGATGATCTTTGAGGTAAGTGCTGGAGTCTAAAAATAAGCCACTGAGGGGTTGGTGGTTATTGCAGGGTTCTAGCAAGTGATTTCAGGAACTGGGGAGGGCCCAACTTCAAAGATGGGCAGATTAATCCTTCCTGAGCAATTTTGTCTATATACTTAGCTTTCCCACACTATAGGAAAATTTGGGGAGCCAGGCATGGTGGCACATACCACTAATCCCAGCACTCAGGAGGCTGAGGCCTCAGGATTGCCATATGTTCAAGGCCAGCCTGGACTACATGAGTTCAAGGTCATCCTGGAATACAGAGTGAGACCCTGTCTTGAAAGAAAAGAAAAGAAAAAATCTGGGGTAATGGGAGCTAAAGAAACCTACATTCATCAAGATGAACGATAACAGGAATCTCATATTTGTATCTGAAAACATAATAATGAAGAGGGGACCTCAGGATAAACAGGGCACAGCTTAGGCATACTGAAGTCCCTTGTGAACCATGTGACTGAAAGTATTGTGAGTAAATGGCTCATGGGGCTTTGATGGCTTGGGAAAACAATGGGTAACCCCTGTTTTCCATCTGGATGCCACACCTTCAGCAAGCCCTTAGCAGTTCCAGAATGACTAGACAAATGGGTATGGTAAGGCTGTGTATTCCATAGGAACAGGCACACCTTTTGGGCAAAGTTCCACCCTAGTATGGCTACCTCAACCCTCTAGTACATAAGAACCACCTACATCTCTTGTACCCTCCCCCCTTGACCCATTGTCCTCTTCTTGCACCAGATCATGCAGAACAACCACATTGCCTCTGTGACCCTGTATGGCCCCCCCAGGCCTGGTGCCCACCTGAGAACAACAGAGCTCCCCTAGGGACATCACCACCTGTGCCCCTCTACCCATGGAACTGTGGGTGACATCCTCTCAGTGAATCTCAGTGCCACCCTGTGGGTTTTCCTGGCCACCTTGTCAGTGTTGAAGGGCTGTTGGAATGTTCAGAGGCAGGCTCAGGCTGGATGCTCTGCCATGGGACAGAGCCCAGATATTCCTCTGTCCATCCTAAGCCTGCTGCTGCCAGCAGGGAAGACAGACTGCAAAGAGAAGCACAAACTTTGAGCCTTGATACCTGGACCCAGGAGTTTTGGACTAACACAGAAGAAGGCAGGACATGTCAACCCGTGTCCCACATACATTGGGAAAACTTGGGGCCCTGTCTGTGGCTGATACAGGCATCCAGGATGAGGACAGACTCTTGCCTTTGGCTTCACATTGGCATGTGACCCTTAAGGCAAGCAGGTATTGTGTTCATAATACTCAGTTGCAACATTTGCACTACATCTACTTTAGTTACTTGAGCTGGCTATGATCAAGGTGGCCCACCTGCCCTTTCCTGTTCCTTTTGTGTGTGCTCTCTGTCAGGCCCAGGAGGCACACCTACCTGGTGAAACACAGCTTTCTACCATCCAGGTATGTGCCCAGGCCTGGTTTCCACTGCTCTGGAGCCAGCTTTCAAGGTTGCCTTGCCCCTGTTCTAACCAACCTTGCTGGTAGGGCTTTATGTTTCCATTCTGTTTGCCTCTTTTATTTAATGCCAAAGTTTTAGCCAAAGACATCTTCTTCCTTTTGTTGTATTTTAGTATTCTGTTCTGCACTGTGGGCCAGCTCCCTGCCCCAGCCCTGGCCACTGTCCCCTGGCTGGGCCTTTCATGGCTTGTGGCCTCTGGGGGCTCAAGGAATGCTGGGCTGCTTGATCTCTTCATAGGTCTTGCTAATGGAAAGTAGCATATATATGCTTTAAAATATTAATCCTTTTGAAAAGAATTAAGAAAAATGTATACTTTTATCCCATTTTTAATATTTTGGTCTAGCAACTTGTGATACATAGATGACAATTTTGTGAGTTTTTCAAATGTGTGTACAGATTTTTGTAAATATGACTCTTTTGTAATTAACTCATGTACAGCCTCATTCTGTATAGTTCATGATGAGTGTGCAAGGGACCTGCCTCAGGTGCTTGCCTGTATGGTTCCTGCACCTATAGCCAGGCTTATGTGGCATACCCATGACTTTGTGACTGAGTGTCTTCCCATTTTGACCACAGTCTGGCCAGAGACCCTGCATATCTCATTGTCAGGGGTAGCCAGGACTGTTCCCTCTCCTCTTGGAAGGGGGAACCTTCCTCATCCCGTACCTACATTCTCTCCAATAAAGCACCTATGCCCTCAGCAGCAGCCTGCCATGTGCTGTTGCCGGGATGTTTGTATTAAAATAAGTTGTGGAGGTGTTGGTTCTTAAGGGGGTAGTTGAAGAATGTGGGAAAAATTTATAGTGGAGGAGACTTAAAAGGGCTCCGTAGGAGCATTAGAATACTGACTTAGGGCTGGGGATTTAGCTCAGCGGCATAAGCGCCTGCCTTGCAAGCAGGCAGTCGTGAGTTCGATCCCTGGTACCGATAAAAAGGAAAAAGACCAAAAAAAAAAAAAAAAAAAAAAAAAAAAGAAGAAGAATACTGACTTAACAGTGAGGGTGTTAAGGGGATAAAGAAGTAGGACCATGACACAGTTGTCTCTGTGACTCTGTCCCTGGTCTTCCAGTCAGACCTGGGCCCTGAAAGGGTTGGGTCCAGGAAAGATCTCACAGTGGAAAGGTTTAAATTTAAGGCTTGGAATTCAGTTTGGAGGAGGGGGTGATGTCTTCTTTAAGTAAATTGAACTATGGAAGCTGATTTAGCACCTGCCTGGCAAGCATGAGGTACTGAGTTCAATTCCCAGTACTCCCAAAAAACAAATTGGGCTGTGGCATATGCCTACTAAGGCTGTGTTGGCTCTGAGGCCTGACCTTAAAGAGGATGAGCCTCCCCTGAATGTGTCTACATCGTCCAAGGGGTTTGAAACTAAGCTCCCACCAAAATACATAGCTATTTGCTACTAGGAAAACTAAATATATCTACAGGTCTAAGGCCTGCTGGCCCAACCCTGGCCATCTTAGTGAGTCACCATGACTGATTCTAGACCTGCTTCTGATGTGGGCCAGTAGGAGGCAAACTCAGTAATCTTTAGGATCCTGAGGCAGACACCCAGTAGTTTGGACAAGGGCCACATACACAATAGTAATCTGAGTTGGGAACCCTGGGGCTGAGTGACAGAAGTCAGCCACTGGTAAGTAGTTAAGAGTCCCATTGGAAGGAGCCTGCAACAACAGGCTGTGGATGTGCACAGACCGGCCCATATGGCCCGTGCAGCAGGCGCCACATAAGCCAAATATCAGCAGCAGAGAGCCCGTGCACTACAACCAATTCACGGTAGAAGCAAGGGTCGAAGGTGTGCAGATGAGGCGCAGCTGAAGGCTGGGAAATGCCAAAGGTGCGGAAAGCTGGGTGAGGCTCAGGTGTAAGCCGAAGGCGCTGCAGGCACATTCCCAGAAAGACGTCGTCAATGGGAAAGAGCTCAACCTGCTTGCAGGCACTGGACAGGCGGCGCAGTGTAGCTCCAGAAAGAACAAAGCCACCACCGCCTGCATAGGCTGGATAGACAGGCAGGCCATATACGGCCTCGGGGATGTAGTACTTGCTGCTCCGCACGCGGATTGGCCGTGCCTGCAAAATCACATCACCGGCAAGCAAGTCCTGCGCTGGATCCCGAGGAGCCAAGAACTCTAGCAGGTTCCCTATGTGCACAAACACATCAGCATCGCCCTTAAAAACAAAGTGCACATCAGGGCAGAAGGCTGAGGCCCAGGCCAGAAAATGAATCTCCTTGAGTGTTAGGTTGAAAAAGGTGTCGTCAAAGGCCCACAGCAAGATGTCTGCATAGGCACGGCTTTCAGCATGCAGCAGGGCGCGCCAGTGCGCAGGCATGGCCGCCCCCTCTGCATCTGCCCCTTCCGTGCCTGGGCCCCTGGGCACGCCCAGCAAGAACACTCGGCGCACGAGCGCCCCCTGCACGCGACCCTCAGAGCCCCACGTCTGGCGCACAGCTTGGCGCCGCTCAAAGTCAGCGGCCACAGACTTGACAGCGATGAGCAGGTCCGGTCGGCCACCACGTGCGCCATCGCCGCGGCACTTGTGCGGCTGGTTAATGAGTAGAGGGAAGCGCCGCTGGTCCTTGGCACGCAAGTAGCCGCGGAAGTCAAATGGACCAGGAGGCGTGTGGGGTGCGGGTGTGTCCTCTTCATAGGCCGGTGGGGCTGCGCCTGCGTCTGGTACATCTGGTACCTGGAACATGCGGGGCCTCAGTGTTGGCCTCCGTGCTACCCGCCCTGGCTCTTGCGGCGCACTTGAGGTTGGGGCTGAGCCATCGCGCTGGGCGTAAAGTAGGAGGGCCAGGGCGGCGCCGAGAAGCAGTGTGAGCGACGCATCCCCGCGTAAACGCAGCCTCCTCCTCATGTCCGTGTGGCCAGCGCCTTTCCTCCCTTAGAAGGGCCTCCCGAAGTGGTAGAGTGACAGGCAGTGAGTGGGCAGGGGCTCCCAGCCCTGCCCTCCTGGAGAGGAGGGGGCAAAAGGCCACACTTCAGGTTACTAGACGTTCATCCCCCTTCGGGCCCTTCGCACTGGAGAAGCTCCCCCTTTGTACCCAACTCCCACCCCAAGGCCCGGCAGGGAGACGCGGGAGCTCGGTCCTACTCCTTCCCGCCTCCCCGCACTGAGGCTGAGTCGGTTCGTTCGTTATACCTTTACCCGTCCCACTCCCGGCTTGGGTCTCTGGAATCCCGACACTCACTCAAGGCCCTTAGAAGCGGCGCAACCCCCTGACGCTGAGGCCTCGAGGTCTCAGCACAGTGTCCCAAGGGCGGCCATAGACAGGGTTTGAGCCAAATGCTGCGTTGGCAGGAAGGGGGGCCCACAGCTGTGCCACGTGACCCTCCAGCTGTGCTGTGCGTGCCCAGACCTCTGGAGCTCAGCTCCGCCCCAGTGCAGAGGGAACCAGTTCCAAGTAGGGATTAATTAATTCCTGAGAGGATGCTTCAGCAGAGGACTGAGAGCGGGGGAAGGCCTGGTCACATGCTTTCAGACTCCACAAATCTACCTTTCTGAGGCTTAGGAAGTATCCCGTTTGTGTCCCTTCACTGCTGTCTCTGTGGAGATAGGGTGGGACCAGAGTCCTTGAGCTGACTGGTCCCAAATCGTTAGGCCACAGGCAGAGGGTCTTAGGTATCTACCTGGCCACTATCCTGAGTCATTTTTCAGAGCACCTCTCTTCAGCAACCCTGATCCCACCAGGCAGGGGGCCATAAACTGCCTCTGGGAAACATGGCTACCTGTTACTCCTGGATCATCTTACCGAGTACACAAACAAACACGCACGCACGCACGCACCATGCGTGCGCATGCAAGACAACGCATCCAATTCTTTAAAAGAACCCTGCCAACAATTCTAGTTGCTTGTCCCCAGATGGAAAAACTGCTTCTCAGGGAGTTAAATGATTGCCAAGAGATATAGTACAGCCCTGAAGTCTTCTGGAATTCAGTCCAGAACTCTTCCCTCTCTGCTTCCTTGCCCTTCATCTGTCCCCTGCAATATACAACCAGGGGCCCAGATCCTTTTGAGTTCTCTGGTCCCCAGCATAGCTTCCTACAGGAGGAAAGAACCATCTCGCCTGTGCCACTGAAGTTTGAGGAGGCTTATTATAATCTCATAGGCAAAGATTTGAGCTGTGACACGAGCACGGAGAGGCACCCTGGAGAGATGAAGGGCTCAGTCCTTGCCTAGCTCTGTTGCCAGCTCACAGCTCTTTCATCCTGAACTCAAGATCCCTGGGTCCTGGCCCATGCAATAGAGACTGGAGTAGCTACCCCACTCCATAGTCTGAGAACAGGCTGCTAAAAAATGGTGCTACCCAGCACCATCCTCTTTCTGGGGTTGTATGCTTCTCCCTTAAAAAGCAAACTCTTTATCCCAACCTTTACACTTTTCCATTCGTAAACTAATAAGTCTTCGGACTTTTTTCACTGCCTCACTTCCTACCTCCTGTGGTATAGGAACACCAAAGGGTGTTCCTCAACCTTGACTGATAAGGCAGCCTCCATAACATCATTGAGTATCCTGTCTTCCAGATCTCCTGCTTTTCTTCATTCCTCTTCGGGATGTGCCTTTTCTAGTAGGTTTCTTTTGGCCACCTCTGGGCCACCCCACCCACTCCCACCTATCCACTAATGAATCTTTAGCCTGACCCATCTCTTAGGGGCCCCTGGATGCCCTGCAGGATCATCATTCTCTGGGAACAGAGCAAACAGGGCCTCCCCCAGCTTCTCTCTTTGTTCCTCTCCAAGGTCACCAGGCTGTTATTTCTTCCTAAACAGCTCTTGGTGTTCTGTTCCTCTACCTCAGCAGCCAGTGTCCCAGCCTTGTCTTCCTTACCCCTTCCTTCATCCTCATCAACCTCCCTGTCTTAATTCCCCAAACTCGTCAAAGGCTTCTCATGGCCTTATAAAAAACAAATTGTAAAATGGCTCATCATACCCCATGTTATCCCTCACCAATGGGCAACCCCACCCACCCACCTCCATTCAGCCACTCTAAACTTGTACTTTTTTCTTTTTTTGATCTTTTGTCTTTTTGAGACAGTTTTGCTATGCAGTTCAAGCAAGCTCACTTTGTAGCCCAGGCTGGTCTCAAACTCAAAACAATCCTCCTGTCTCAGCCTTCCAAGTGCTGGAATTACAGGCATGGCACCACCATGCATGACCTAAATTCATACTTCTGACACCCTTCCCTTTTGCCTTCCTCCAGACACTGCCCCCAGGCTGAGGTGCCTGGAATACTGCCCTTTTGTCTGCTCCCCACTACAGCCAGCTCCCACTCCCGAGGCCTACCCCAGACTGGAACAGGCCTCCACACTCCCACAACACACTGTGTAAAGTGTTAATACTTTATTACTATGGATGTGAGCTGGGGGTAGATAGGATTTGTGTGTCTTGCTCACCACAGTTTTTACAGCACTAGGGTTGATACCTAGGACATGGAAGTTCCAGGTGTTTAATACATTCTATGAAGAGGTCCAGCCAAAAGGAAGATATCCATACTGTCTCCATCGGACTCAGGCAGACTCACCATGGTGCAGCCTGCAGGCTCAGGGGATGCTTATCTCTCTGATTAGCCAGTCAACTTTTCCCTGCTGCTCAGTGAAGTGGGGGTGTTAAGTGTGGTCTCAGAGTCCCTTGAATGGAAGGGGGAGGCATCAACAGTAGCAGCAGATGAGACCCTAGATCCATCCAGGTGCTCCAAAGCCTGACTGGACTCTTGGTTGATGGTGCTTCCTTGGCACCTGGCCTAGACCAGGCCACTGTTGGAATCCACTAGGCCCAGCAGGTCTTCAGCCAGACTGGTGAGCTCATTCTCCTCGAGCGCCTCCACCAGGCGCTGCAGTGTGGCACGGCGACCCTCGGCCTGCACGAAGCGCCGTAATAGCTGGAAGGCCTGCTCGTACAGCCCCTCTCGCTCATATTCATAGGCCAGTGAATCGAGAACAGGGTCCCGCAGTGCCCGACAACCACGCTGCAGGGAGCGCCCCACCCTGCGCCACTTGAGGCCCACGGAGCGAGCGAAGGTCTGTTGGTCCTGCAGGTTCAGCGGCCGGTTCACTACAAAGGGAGTGGAGAGGCAGGTGGGCGCAGGGTATCTCAGAGTAGGTACCCGCCCAGTCTGGCCCAACTCAGGGACCCTGCATTTTCATTTGCACCTCACCTACGGGGTGACCGCGGAACAGAAAGGTCTGGTCAGTCGATGGTGGCGGCTTCTCCTCCAATAGAGAGGGGGCTGGGGACTGCGAGGGGGCAGGAGTGACCCCCGTGTTGACACTCTGGCCTGCAGAGCCCACCATCAGACTGCTGAGTGCATCCTCCAGCTCGGTGAGTTCCTCATCCCGGAGCCGGTCCGGCTGGAGAAGGGAGTGCACGGTCAGTAGGGCTCTCGCTGCTGAGTCCCCGCCCCACCCCATCCTGACCCCAGTCAGCTGCACCTTCTGGGCTAAGATGGTTTGCACACAGTGCTCCTCATCAGTCAGCCAAGCATCCAGTTGCTCGGCGCCAGCGCGCAGCTCCAGCTGCAGTAGCATGGAAGGCTGGGCCAGAGCAGCCGCCAAGCACCTCTGTAGCGTGGCGCGCAGCGCGCCCTCGCGGTAGGCGCGGAGGAAGCGATCGCAAGACTGGCGCCCACAGAAACGCAGTTGCATGATGAGCTGCGGGTCGCTTCTGTGTATCTTCAGTATCTGCAGCACGTCGGGGCCCTGGGAGCTCTCTGCGGAGGCGAGCAGTCAGATGCCAGGCGGTCCCTTAGCGGGGCCGTTCTCCAAGCAGCCGAAGGAAGAGCAAAGCCGGTGATCAACTGAACCCCTGTCCCCATCCTCTGGCCTAGGGTGCAGGATTAACCAAAGATCCCAGCTGGGAAACAAAACTGGGATGCAAGGAGCAACAACGCAGAAAGCAGGCTAGAACCTACTACAGAGTGGGTATAACCTAGTCTAATTTGTTCAAATAAGGATAAGACAAAATGAGGGCTTTTTCAACACAGAAAAAGGACCTTTGCCCTGGGTCGTCAAGATGGGGGTGGGGGGTTGGTCTCAGGTCTTCAGCCTCCAACTAGTGAGGTTCCCTTTCCCCTGGAAGATGAGGGATCCTCATTGCTGAGGTTGAAGTAGAATCCCCCAACTGGCTTCAGCCTTCTGTGGCTTCTGCCCTGGGGTAAAAGGGACCTAGAAGAGTAGGTATTGGGGAGGGGCCTCAGGCAACGAGTGCTGTAGTGAGAGAGGAAGGAGGAGAAAGAAATGTGAAATTATTAGAAAGGAAAAAGTTGGATGGTCAGGAGGGTGGGCAACGGGGCACACACAGTAGGGAGACATTAGTGCAGAAATAGGTAGGTCATACCCAGACCCAGGTAGACATGTCAACTTGAGGACATGCATGCAGTAAGCAGAGAAGGTCTACACCTAGGGCTCTTCCTCCCCTCCCCCAAGCCCCACATCCCAGTTACTTCCCACCCCCAATCTTTCTCACCACCCTCAGCCCCAGCTTGGTCTATACCACCAGCCACGCACCTGCCAATGCAGTCCGTAGAGCCCTGTATACTGCCACCTTTTTCTGAGGATGTGCATAGACATCTGACAGTACCACCTTGTCTATCGAGGACTCCAAAAACAGGTATGCACTACCCACCCGCTCTTCATGCCCATTCGACCCAGCTGCCATCTTGTGTCTTGGACCTACAGACAGGAAACCAGATCACTTCCAGACTTGGAGACAGCTGTCCAATTCCATGTGGCCCACACACCCCTCATAGCAATCCCAGACAGCTTGCATACTGGGGGCATTAGTTCACTATTTCACAGGCAGCCTGTATTTCTACATGAAGCCCCATCCAGCCCTGCCCAGACTTGTAATGAGAATTATTCCTCCACTGACTTCTAGAAAAATCCTACAGTTGCCCAGTGCAGTGGCACATGCCTGTAGTCTCAGCCACTAAGGAGGCTAAGGCAGAAGGATGGCAAGTTCAAGGCCAGACTAGGCAATCTGATGACAGCCTGTATCAAAATAAAAAGAGCTGGGGATATAGCTCAATGGTGCAGTGCTTACCTAGCAGTTTAAGGCCATGGGTTTAATCTCCAGTACTAAGGGAGAAAAAAGTCCAGGGTCATAGTGGCAGAAGAGCAGAGAAAGACCCTGCAGTGAAAAGAGAGAAGTTCTGCCTCCTCCTCAAGCCAAGGATGACTGCAGAACCATTCTGGATGCTTCCCATGCCCAAAGCCAACTAGACCCTGGCCTTACCTTCAGTTTGAACTTGGGACCCCTGATCTCTGCAGATGGACAACCCCACCCTTAGATTCCTTTATTTGCTTTTTTCCCCCCTTAGGAAAAAAGTAACTTGTAGTTTAGTCCTACACAGACTCCCTCCACTAACCCTAGACCTCTGTGAACTCCTTTCCTCCCTCTTCTAACCTGTACACATATTGGAGTGTGAATCCCACCTCCTAGCTCCATGTCTGTGTATGTGAAGCAGGCCTTGCCAGTGTACATTTTTTGCTCACCATTCTGCATTCTAGGTTAGTTGAGGCCTCCATTCAGGGCTCAAGCTGGACCAGTAGGAATCAAGCCTGGCACTCAGCTGTGCTAACAGCATTGACTGCCCTTCCCTTGGAGATGAATCAGAAGGAGTGATAAATCTCTGATATTGCTTGGAAAGAGCCTGGCTGAGAATGAAACTGATACTGAAGGAAACAGAGCCAAGAGATGGAGAAGTGTACTCCTAACCACACTGACCCCAAATCTGGCTATCCCTGAAATCACTGAACTCCAAATTGTTCAATTATGTGAGCTGAACCGTTCCCCTTTGTCATAAAGCCCTTGGAATTGGGCTTTTGTCTTTTCCAACTCAAATTGTTCTATTTATAGATTCCTCTGTTCCCTGTCTCCATCCCTCAAAAACCTGACCCTAAATGCCGGGTGTGGTGACCCCTGCCTAAATCCCAGCACTTGGAAAGCTGAGGCAGGAAGATTGCTGGGAGTTCAAGGCCACCCTGGACTTCACAGTGAGACCATGTTTCAAAAAGACAAAAACAAAACTAACTACCCTGACCCTAGAGGAGGAGGCAAAATTCCCAACCAGGGATACATTCCATTAACCCTGCTGTTGTCCCATGAGGAGGCAAGTGGGGAAAATGTCCTGTCTCTTCTCTGCCTTTTCTCAGAAAATCCCACCTCCTGCCCCATCAGTCATTTTCCTTTACTTTCTGGTTTTGGCATTTACAATGGTGAAATAGGGGTACTGAGCCCTTGCTCTGGATGGGGCAGATGGAGTAGCCCCAGCTGGCTCCAGGAGGAGCCAGGAACAGAAGCCTACACATAGTGAAGAGGAAGTAAGGAACCTGAGCTACATACAAAAAATTAAAAATTGCTCCAGGTCCCTATCATGCCCAGAGATAAACACGTACTAGTATTCTGTTAATTTTAAAATGAAGTATTACTTCCCTGCTAATCTCTTCATAGAAAATGTATTAATTCTTTTTTACTTTCCTAAAACAGCAGAAACTTCATTTTAAAATTAACAGAATACTAGTACTGTGTTTATCTCTGGTCATGATGGGGATCTAGAGCAATTTTTAATTTTTTTTGTATTTTGCAATATTTTCTTTCTTTCTTTCTTTCTTTTCTTTTTTTTTTTTTTTTTTTTTTTTTTGTCTTTTTCATTTTTATCGGTACCAGGGATCGAACTCACGATCACACACTTGCAAGCCAGGCGCTTATACCGCTGAGCTAAATCCCCAGCCCCAATATTTTCTACTTTATGTAAAATAGGAACATTTCCTTTGTACTAAAAAAAAAAAAAATCTTTCTTTAAAAACAAAATAACAGCCAGGGATATAGCTCAGCAGTACAGGGCCTGCCTGGCAAGCTCGAGGTCCTGAATTCCATTCCTGGTACAAAAACAAAACAAAACCACAAAAAAATTTTTTTAAAAACAACAAAACAAAACAAATATAAGGTGAGACTCCAGGGGACAAGTAGGACCGAGAGCAGTAAGGAGCCAGTCAAGAAGGCAAGATAAGCTCAGGAAAAGTGGCATGAGGGAGCCTGGAAATGTTTCCTCTTTCACATCTTCCTAGCCCCTCTTGACTTGAAAGTTTTGACCTGACGTATGTGGTCTCAGCCCAAAGGGTGGAGGCAGGGACTGAAGGACCATCAGGCCTTCCGAACATGGAGACAGGGGTTGTCTCATCACACCACTAACACTGGGCTGGAGGTCGAGAGGTCGGTTAACAAGGTAGAGAAGAGGTGGGGCGGGGAAGGCTCTGCCATTGTCCATTTTGGAATCATTCCTGTGTGGCCTTCCACAGAACACCCTTCCTTGGGAAGCCCCAAGCCCCACGCCCTGAGAATCCACCCCGCCTCCTCGGGCAGGGTGAGACTTCCAAGCTTCGCTACTGGAATAGGTATCAAACTAAAAACTGCCCTTATCACTAGAAGGCAGTCAGGCACGACGCCCTATTAACACAGGACAGTTCCCAGGTAACACTTCTGGCTGCGTGGGCGGAACAGACCGTAGGCACGGCCCACGGACTGGAAGCCAACAACTTGGTGCAACCCAGCCAGACGCACCCCCTCTCAGCTGCACCACTCTGGACCGAGGGAGGGGAACTTCCTGGGATCCCATTAGCGCGCCCTCATGCTAGGTTTTTGCATGTGCCTGAGTTGAGAGGGGAAGGGGATCACGATCACAGACCCAGTCCCTTCACACTCTCTCACCTGCATAGCCCACTAGCCCCTCCAAAGCTCTTAGCTGGCACAAGGAACCTGCAAGGCTCCAGTTTCGTACCCTCTCCTCTTTCTCCTACGGAAACAGTTCAATAGGCCGCCGCTGCCACCACCAGCTGGTCGCGGCAGCTCCGGGTGACAACCGCACGATGCCCACACCCGGGAGCCAAAATCCATCTCTGCGCCCGCCGCACCCGGGAGACCCCCTTCCCTCCCTCTGAACTGACCTGGCCACCTCTGCAGAGCCTAGGCTCCCCAGCCCGCCAGGCTCCGCTCCACTACTCCGCTTCCGGGTGTGCGCCGAGGCGCTAAGGCGGTGCCCCAGCCCGAGCCGCCCCGTCCGCCCCCATGTCCCGCCTTCCCGGCTCCCGGCAGCTCCAGCCCTCTCCTCTGCCTCCGTGGCTAATCCTTTGCCTCTGAGCGGAGCTCATCCGGCCCGCTAAGCAGGTAAGAGAGACAGCAGGAAGAACTGCTGGCGGGTGGTAACGTTGAGATCTCGAAATTCTTACGAGACCTAAGGGTCCCAGAGTGAGAGCTCTGGGACTTCCGTCCGTTAGAAATGGATTAACTAAAGGGCGCCACCTGGGGATCAGAATTTTCTTGTAACCCTTGACGATTCAGTTTTATAATCTCACCGCTGCTAATCCCTGGTACTCAAACCGGGTGCCACAACTCCCAGGAACAAGACCGGCAGAAGGTATCCAAAATCTCCAAATGTGGCGCTAATTCCAGGACACACACAAACTGCGCTCCCAATTCCTGACTGGCTCGTGGTCCCTGTCAAAAGTTTTCCAGGCTCCCGCCTTATTAACCCTATGTAGTGATCCTCTACTGGCTGGCGGGTTTGGAGCAATGTTTCTCAAGTAGAAACTTATAGAATCACCTGGAACTTGTTCAACAAATGAAAAATAACCAGAAAAGGCACCCTTTGGCACCCAGGGCTGACTTTAAGAGGCTGAATAAGACCTGCTCAACAGGGTAGGGGCCCCACACTTGGCTGAATACTTGATCGAAAATTCTGCTGTCACTGCCTGAAATTTTTTTGGTGGTGTTGGGACTGAGTTTAGAGCCTACTCCGAGCTACATCCCCAACCCTGTGAAACTGAAACTCCTAATGTTGTAAACAGGTATTCAAGTATTTTCATTTTGCACAAGGCTTCATAAAATATAGCAACTCACAGACCATAAGCATTTTTACACCCCAGCTCCAGCGCTCCCTTCCTGAGCCCAAGGATGCCTTCTCTCTCCAGGCCTGATCTGCGGGAGCGGCGGCAAAACCCCCAGCCACAACATGGCAGAAAAACTGCCAGAGGAGGTATTGGCACTCATCTTTCGCCACCTGCCCCTCAGGGACCGTGCCACTGCTGCCAGGGTCTGCAAGGCTTGGGCTGCTGCTGCCACCAGTAGTGCTGTATGGTATGACACCACCATCAGGTGAGCTGCCATTCTGCCTCTTGCCACCTGCTCATCCTCCTGCTTGTTCTATGGAGCCAGGATTTGGGAAGACTTATTAAATTCACCCATATTGAAAAAATAATTACAGTACTAACATTTACTGACCACCCACTATGTGTACCAACTATTCTAACTGCTTGGCATATATTAACTCATTTAATCCTCACAAAAATGTCCTGTGAAAGCTGGGCGTGGTGGCTCATGTCTGTAATCCCAGTGCTCGGGAGGCTGAGGTAGGAGGATTGTTGTGAGTTCGAGACCAGCCTGGGCTACAAAGTGAGCTTAAGGCCAGCCTGAACTGCATAGCGAGACCCCCGTCTCAAAAAAAAAGACCAAAAAAAAATGTCCTGTGACAGGCAGCATTAACTCCATTGCATAGATGAGGCAGAAAGATTTTATCACTTCCCACAGGTTATTCAGCAAGGGAGTGGCACTGTTGGAATTTAAACCTGGAAACCCAGAGGCTTCGCCTTGCCCCACTTTCTTAGAGCCAGCTAGTCCCTAAAATATCACTAGATGTTAGTGTCAGGGTTTCAATGTATGGTTGATTCAAGTCTTCTGAAGGGATAAGATAGGAGTTCCCTCCATCACCAGCAGCTACCATAGAGCAACAGCCAGGTCTAGACAGAGATGTGTATACTGGGGGCCAGCAGGGGGAGGATAATGGGAATCTAAACTGAGAGGTAGTAGAGGCCTGTCCCCTTGTCGTGGAGATTCCCCCAATTCCTTTTCTGCACTCTAACCCAAGCTGCGACTATGAGCAGGAAGGCATGTTTCCACTGTATCTGTGCAACTGTCTGGACTACATTCACAATCTACGGCTGAAATACGAACCGTCAAAGAAGACAAGTCGCAGGTCTGCCACTGAGCTGCTGACAGCACTGGCGAGCCATGCCACAAGGCTTCAAGGCCTGCGCCTGGAGTGCTGCGGTGAGAAACCGCTGTTTGACTCGGGCCGCGACGTCCTGGACGCTGTACAGACTGTCTGCAGGAACGCCTGCAAGCTGCACCACCTTGACCTGCGGCGCTTGCCCTTCACACTGGATGATGAGTTGGTGCTACAGGTGGCACGTGGCTGCCCAGAGCTGCGAAGCATTTTCTTGGACAATCATACACTGGTGGACAGTGTGAGGCCCAGCGCAGTACTCGAGCTGCTGGAGGCCTGCCCACACCTGCGTGCCCTTGGCCTGCACCTAGCCAGTCTATCGGCCTCTGTACTCCAGGTGCTAGCTGCGCCGGATCGTGCGCCTTTCAAGCTCCTGGCTCTTCGGTGCTCGTGCCGTGATGATGCACACGCATCCCCTGTGCCCGATGAATCCTGGGCAGCATTACGCTGCCGCCACCCAGGGCTGGCAGTGGAGCTGGAGCTTGAGCCCGTGATGCCTGCCGAGAGTGTGACCCGTATCCTGCAGCCAGCAGTACCTGTGGCTGCATTGCGTCTTGACCTCTCAGGAGACACAGTTGATTCGGTGTACTTCGCCGCACACCACTACGCTGCGACCCTGCGTGTGCTGGAGGTGCGTGCTTCTGCCTCACCCAAGCTGGACGCAGCACTGCAGGAGTTGGCAGCACGCTGCTCTGGCCTGCACGAGATACACTGTTTCTGCGTAGTGAAACCCTCAGTGCTTGCAGCCTTCCGAGCACACTGCCCGCGCCTGCGCAGCTACACGCTCAAACTAAAGCGCGAGCCACATCCCTGGCTGCCCACACTCGTGCAGTGATTGGTCAACTCCCCATCCCCACCCTGCAGAGCTGAGGTCCCTGAGATGCAGGAAGGAGTTTTCTGGGTGCTCTCCAACTAACTGCAGGCCCTTCGGAATTCCGATTATCTTCTGTGCCTCTCGGGCACTGGGACTGAGACTGAGACCTGCTGGCTGGTGTCCGATCTAGTCTGTGATGCCGAGTCCATGCCATGCTGTCAGCCTCTGCAGATGCCAACTCTGTCGTGGTGGTTTTGGGCTTCACCCCATTCCTCTGCACACTCCGCCCCAGTTCTGCAGCCTGTCGTGGGAGGAAGGTGGCCATGGGCGTTGGCTGGGCCATGGGGCTTTAGGGGTGAGTGTGAAATAAACAGACCTTGTAGTATTTGCGCCGCTTCGTAGGGACTATGTGAAATAAACATCCTTCAAAAGGCTTGGTCAGCTCTGAAGGAGAGCGCCGAAAGAGCAGGCGGGAAGTTTGTGATGGAAAGGATCCAGACTTCAAAGTCTGTAGTACTGAAGTGGCTGCACAGGCAAGAACAGGGAATTCCACACCCTTGGAATGACTGCACCCCAGTGTCATTCCACTCCTACCCATCCTGTCGGCCTAACAGGATCTTCACTACACCCACGGCTGTCACCTTGTAAGACTTTCCAACTTCACAGTAGTTCACACACGAAGATGTCCCCCAAACAATGCAGAAGGAAATAGACTGAAAAAGGGGGCTCGAACCCTGGTCTCCATCCGCACCCTACACACTCCATCCGCACATTTCTGGTTCAGCCAGCCCGTATGGTCTGCTGGTGCCTCGGACGCTGTCCGAGCCCCGCCCCACGGGTTCGCACGTGGCCCCCGCCTGACCCAGCGCCTGGGGGCGGAGTAGGGCGGGGCGGGCGGCAAACGCAGCACTTTCACGGCTTGGACAAGCCTGCAGCGGCCGGGCCGAATGCTGAGCCCGGCCGAGACTGCGCCATGCAGGAAGCGCCAGCCGCGCTGCCCACGGAGCCAGGCCCCAGCCCCGTACCTGCCTTCCTTGGCAAGCTATGGGCGCTGGTGGGCGACCCAGGCACCGACCACCTGATCCGCTGGAGCCCGGTGAGGGCTGGGGCCCTTCGACACCCCCAGTGGTCCCCGGGGTCCCTCCAAGTCAGTGAATACCCAAGCCCACCCATCGTCCACTTGGGACTGGGCTGGGGGTCCCTCGAGTCCTCAGTACAGGTAGTTCATCTTGGAGGGGGTGTGTGAGCTGAGGATGAGTCTGAGTCGGCTTCCTCTAGGACAGAGGAAGGATTAGGGGCCTCCTGGAGACTTAGAGCCCCAAGAATCTCCTAGTCATTTAGTTATCACTCCTCCCCGTTGACAGATCGGAAAACAGGCCAGGAGAAGGTAAGGGCCGGCTCCAGCTAGGTCAGGGTCACATCGCAGCTCTGGCTCAGGCTCACATCGTGGTCCGAGGAGGACCCTGGGTTGGCCTCTGCTACTCCCTTCTGAGAACCAAGACTGGGTCGGGTAAGGGCTAGGGACCCAGTGGTCGCCCTGGGCTGGGCCCCAGAAGGTCCTGGCCTTGCCTTGTTCCATACCCCTATGAGCGGCAGGCTCGACCCCAGAGTGAATACGCGCGCCTCAGCGCTGATTTGGTGGCGGGCGGGCGCCGCTCATGGACTCTGGTCTCCACCCGCACTGCGGGCGGGCTGCGTTCTCTGTAGAGCGGGACCAGCTTCCTCGTAAGCGATCAGAGCCGCTTCGCCAAAGAAGTTCTGCCCCAGTATTTCAAGCACAGCAACATGGCAAGCTTTGTCCGTCAACTCAACATGTGTGAGTCCCTTGAACCACCGGGCAGGGAGTGGGTGTGGGTGACTTAGTGCGGAGGGTGGGGCTACTCAGACCCCCACACCCCACTCCCTAGATGGTTTTCGGAAGGTGGTAAGCATCGAGCAGGGTGGCCTTCTCAGGCCAGAGCGTGACCACGTCGAGTTCCAGCACCCGAGCTTCGTGCGCGGCCAAGAGCAGCTACTGGAGAGAGTGCGGCGCAAGGTGAGGGAGAACCTTCTGAAACCAGGAAACCCAAGTGAGGCCTTTGGGCTGCCTGGCGTGTTCTAAGTGAGACGCTGCTGCCTTTCATCCGCAGGTGCCCGCGCTGCGCGGTGACGACGGTCGCTGGCGGCCGGAAGACCTGGGACGGCTGCTGGGCGAGGTGCAGGCTTTGCGGGGAGTGCAGGAGAGCACCGAGGCGCGGCTGCAGGAGCTCAGGCAGTGCGGGTGCCAGGAAGACAGGGCAGAGGGGAATCTGGTTGAGAGGATGTGGTAGCCAGGGGTTTCTGGGGAGCCCCTGCCTCTCTTGGGCCTTGGCACCTCTTCCAGATAATTGGACCCTGTGGAACCCTAGGATGGACCACGCTGGCATCCCAGGGAATGCCAACTTCATCATTCCATGGGGGTGGTGACTGGGCAAACCTTCAGAACCCTTCGGAAGCCTCAGCGGCCTCCCATCCCTTCTCTCAGGCAGAATGAGATCTTATGGCGAGAGCTGGTGACACTGAGGCAGAGCCATGGTCAGCAGCACCAGATCATCGGCAAGGTGCTTCCCCCTCCCACTCCTGGGCAACCTCCCACCCAGCCTTCCTTAAACCCACCTGGACCTGGACCTGCATCATACAGTGGGGGGAGGGGTATGCTAAGTGTGAATTAACCCTTTGCTTTCTCTTCAGCTGATCCAGTGCCTCTTTGGGCCACTTCAGGCAGGGGCCAGCAGTGCAGGAACAAAGAGAAAGCTGTGAGTGAGGAAGCCAGGGACACTCACTCCCACTACCAGGACTCTGCCCCAGAACTGGCAAAGACCCCCTCTCCTCCTTCACCAGAATTCCTTATCCCCCCCTTCCTTGCCTGTACAACTATCCTCATGCAGTCTAGGGCTTTCTCCCTTATCCCCCATCTCTACTTTATGGGACTCCAACTGCCAGATCCTCCTATTCCAGGACCTTACCCCACATTCCAACCCCAGCAGTCCCTTCCCCAAAGTACCCTAACAACAGAGAGCTTAAGGCCCAAACCATACTCCCTCCTCTACCCCCAAAGGGCCCCCATCTCTGGGTGGGGGGAGCCCCTTCCATTCCAGCATGTGACTGATGCCTGGCAACAGGCCTCAGCTTTGCTGACTTGGCTGCTGGGGCCTGGGGGAGGGAGGGTGGGAGGGAGGGAGAGAGGAAAGTGAATGCTGAGAGGCAAAGGGCCTGAATCTGCCCCACTCCAGCCTGCTCATCCCACACAGGTCCCTGATGCTGGATGAAGGGAGCTTATGTCCAACACCTGCCAAATTCAACACCTGTCCCCTTCCTGGTGCCCTCCTGCAGGACCCTTTCTTTATCCAGTCGGTAGGGGTTTTCCCTCCCTTTTCCTAGGGTATAGCTGGGATTATGGGAAGTTCCTACTCTTCTCCATTCCCCCAAAAGGTGGAAGCCAGCCTTCCTATTACCAGACCTGGGCTCCCCAGCATGGACTGCCCTCCCTTCTCAAACCCTGCCCTTTAGATCTGGTTCAGGTGGGTGTTGGCTGGGTTCTGGCCTTTCTTGTGGCTAGAGGTCAAAGGCTGGGCCTAGCCTTTTTAATTTACAGCCCCTCCCCGAGACTTCCTTGGGCCTTAGCCCTCACAGGGCCAGGGGCCCCATCATCTCTGACATCCCAGAAGACTCTCCATCCCCCGAAGGGCCCAGAACTTCTCCTTCTGGTGGTAGCAGGAGGTAAGGGGGGCAGGGGCTGCCTCTGGGGAACCTTCTAGGGGAGGGCCTAGCAGCCCAGATGGCTGTGGGGGTAGGAGAAGAGAACAGTGCCAGGGTCTGGCTGAAGCTTTTCTCTGGTACAGGGAGAAGGGCCTGGCACTGCTCAAAGAAGAGCCGGCCAGTCCAGGGGGGGATGGCGAGGCCGGGCTGGCCCTGGCCCCAAACGAGTGTGACTTCTGCGTGACAGACCCCCCACCGCTGCCTGTGGCTGTGGTGAAGGCCATCCTGGAAGGGAAAGGGAGCTTCAGCCCTGAGGGCCCCAGGAGTGCCCAACAGCCTGAACCAAGGGGCCCCAGGGAGGTACCTGACAGGTGAGCAGAGCCCTTTCTTGACAATGAACCTTGTGGGCCTCTTTCACAGATAGATGGGCACTCACAGCTCAAGAGACTGCCCTGTGTTATCTGCCCCTTGGTGGTTGAGGGGAACATTGGATACCTGATTTCTCATAGTGTGCTCCTAGGAGCATCTGCATCAGAATCCTCTGGAAATTGGAGACTACTAGTCAGGTCTCTCATCGCATCTGTGGTAGGACTCAGGAATCTGCACTTCCAATGAGTTTGCTGGAGTGATTATAATACACAATAGTTTAAAAACCACTGATATTTACACTGGCACAGAGAGGGGAACATATCCCATGACCTCAGGTCCCAGGTAGGAAACAGAGGCACTCTGTATGTGTCCCTGCTCAGAGAGAGGAATGTAAATCCTGATACACCCAGTTCCTTGAGCTGGAGGACACTGCAGCCTGCAGGCTGACAATAGTTCTTCGTATACAGGGGGCCTTTGGACCTGGAGCAGGGGAACCGAAGCCCAGAAAGTCAGCTACCTCCAATGCTGCTTCGGCCTCCCCCTGAGGGGATAGAGCCCGCAGTGTCCATGGATGTGAGTACTCCTTTGGTGGGGGTAAGGGCATGGGCATGGGCATGGGACCCAGTGGGGTCCAGCTGGCTATGCAGCCTAGGAGGGCACCATTGACTCAGAGCTTTTCCCAGGCACTGGGCTCCAGCCTCCAAGGACGAGAGTGGTCCCTCTTGGACTTGGACATGGCGCTGTCCCTGGTAAGATGGGGGTGGGGCCACACCCTCTGGTCCTTGGCATCTCAGTGAGCCAAAGCCATGTCTAAGGATGGCCCCAGCGAACCTTCAGCTTTCTTCTTCAGCTACTGGGCTCCTCCCAGCTGCTTCCTGGGGTTCTCCCATGCAGGTGCAGCCCTTGGTTCCAGAGAGGAGTGAGGCTGAGCTTGGGGTCAAAGGGCTGAATTCTCCAAGTCCAGGTAATGGTGGTCCAGGGCTCTGGGACCCTGGGCAGAGCTACCAAGTTTGGGTGGGATGGGCAGTTTGAGTTGTGCAGGGCAAGCCCCTGGATTCAGGCTGCCCTTAGAGCCTTCTGAGCCACCCATCCCTTCACCATTGAGTGAGAATGGGAAGGTTAAGAATGGAAGCTCATCTTGAGTGAGCACAAGTCAAACTCTGGGGTCTTACCCTTAAAAAAAGGAGAAATGCTCTTCTGATGACAGCCTCACTCCTCCTTAGGAAAAGACCCCACACTTGGGACTCCACTCCTGTTGGATGTCCAGGCAGATTTGGGAGGCCCAGCCCTTGCTGTGCCAGGGGCTTTAGCCATTTACAGCACCCCTGAGAGCTGGGCCTCCTACCTGGGCCCAGGGGCCAGTCCCTCCCCTTGAGACCCACACACCTCTGAAGCACTCTGCCTGAGGAACCCTTCTGTGACAGCATACCCATTTTGGCTTCCTGGTGCCCCCTGGGGGGGTGAGCGAAGCCCCCTCTTCTGGTAGCCTCTCTCCTTCACCCTATACATAAACTGCATTTTTTTCCTGTTTGTGGTCTCTTTTCTTTATTGACCAGGGAGCACAGGAGTCCTTGGGAGGAGGTCACTTTGCCTTAGTAGAAGCATTCAGAGCCTAGGGCTTTAAAGGAAGAATCCCTGGATAGTGGGGGGTGCTTGGAGAGCTGACCTAGCTAGCACACCTGTCTAAATCCAGGATTGATCCATGATCACTGCAGTGTGTCTCCCTACATTCAGCTCCACAAAACATGTCCTCCGTAACCCTAAACAATTCTTTGAACTTCATCTGTAAGAGAGGAGTGGACAAGAGGACAGATAAAAACTGGGCACTGACGCAGGACGCATGGGGCTGCGGATCAAACTGTAGCCTCCCTGGTTGTGTACAGGTGTACCTTAGGTTGGGGTTGGCTGAGTGACCTATATGTCTGTCCCGAGTCCCCAGCCAGAGTGACCCGGGCAGCCAGGCTCCCAGCCTGGAAGAACGCCCCCTCCCCCTCAGTTCCCGGCAGCCCTGCCCGCCCCGCCCCCATCACAGCTGCTGCACCAGTCCCCATCCCGCTCTGCCCTTTCTGCACTGTCATCTCCTGCCCCGCTGAGGCAGGACCCGTGAGTGAGGCCGCCGGAACCGGGATCCTCTCTCTACTGGAGGGGGAGGGAAGGGAAACAGATTGGACAGAATCCGTGCCTCACCATCAGCCGCAGCTCTCGCAGGTCTGTGAGCCCCGCCCTTCCGCAAGGCTGTAGCTCCGGGACTGGGTGGTTGGGAGGTCAGGATACCCTTGTGGCTGCGCATGCGCAGAGGCTTCAGCGGCTCCTAGGACCCTCGCAATCAGCAGCATACCCAGCCAGCTGAAAGGGGGCGGGGGCAGCATCTAGGCCTGTCCCTTGAAAAAACGGGTCACAATCAAAGTTATTTACCTTACAGTTAAGAGAATCTCAAAAGTGATTCTTTAATTAGCAGTAAGACACAGGGTAGGAATTGATGTAAGGGGTGGGGGGAGACGGCAGATATAGCTCAGTGGCACAGTACCTCCCTGGGAAGTGTGAGGTCCTGAGTTTGATTCCAGGTACCTCTTTTAAAAAAAAAAAAAAAAAAAAAAACCAAGGCTAACAACAGGGCAATTTTTTTTTTTTTCTGGTCTTTTTCGATACCAGGGATTGAACTCACTACCACACACTTGCAAGAAAGGCGATTTTTTTTTTTTTTTGGTCTTTTGTCCTTTTTATTGGTGCCAGGGATCAAACTCACGACTGCCTGCTTGCAAGGCAGGCACTTATGCCACTGAGCTAAATCCCCAGCCCCAAAGGAAGCTGCTTATGCCGCTGAGCTAAATTCCCAGCCCCAACAACAGAGCAATTTAAGGAGTAGAGAGCAGGAGAGACCAATCCAGTCTGCCCCCTGCCTCTCCACATTTAGAAAAGATTAGGAGCTAGAAAAAAAAGATGATTAGGAGCTGACCCCTCTCCCTTCTTGTGCCGGTGATGGAGGAGTCTTTGAAAGCCTCTCCTGTGGAGAGCAGGGGGTTCTCCTGCAAGACAGTGAGGACTGTTCATGCAGTGGTGAGGGCATGTGCTGTCCACTGAGATGCATGGAAGAAGTTGCCTACCCTTGAATACTCAGGCATGGAAGTGGACAAGGGAACGTTTGAGACTTGGAGGCCAGGTCCACAACCTGGAGGCAGGGAAGGATGTTCCAGGTCTGAGGAAGAGCACCAGTCAAGGTTCAAAGTGCCAGGGACAGACCAGGCATTTGGCACACACTTGTAATCTCAGCACTTGGGAAACTGAGGCAGGAGGATCGCTGCAAGTTCAAGGTCAGTCTGGGCTGCATAGTGAGACTATGTCTCAAAAAAAAAAAAAAAAAAAAAAAAAAAAGTTCCAGGGACATAGTTTTTCCTCCCAGGACTGAGGAGCGGAAGGAAGAGAGAAAAAGTCTGGCTGTCCAGGGTAGTGAGAGGTGGCTAGAGCAGCCAGACCAGATAACTTGGATTCCCTCAGGTTATGGACTGGAGATAGGTGGTTAGGCCTGACATTATTGGACAGGAGACTTCCTTATAGTTCAGCCTTTACTTGGTCTCTCTGAGCTCATCTCATCTATAAAATGGTAACAATAAATCCTACTCCAGCAGTTGCCATAATCACCACACTGAGGGCAGCACTAGAATGGGAGTGAGGGGGGGTTACAGGAGATGAGGTGATCATTATGGTACCGAGGGGCAAGAGTTAATGGAGACTGAGAGGCACTGTCATAGATGGAATATGAAGGAGACAGAGGAACAGGGGTCTGGTTTCATTTGGTTGCGTAGAGAAAGGACTGACACTTGAATATGAGGAATTGGAGGGGTGCTAGAGTATGAAGTGACCAGCCAGGGTAAGCATTGTATGCCACCAGAGCAGTGTTGAACTATGGTATATGTGCCACAGCAGGTTGTTTGTTATCACTGAAGGTTCTAAAAGGCTCGCTATTACTGCAGTAGGGGATACTGAGACCTGGGAGGCTGTGACCAAATGGATGAGGAAAGGAGGTAGACAAAGGACACCGAAAGGAAGAGGAGACCTGGAAGGATGCTGTATGAACAAAATCAAGATAGGTGAATGGGCAGAGATGGGCATGGTCCAGGGCCTGACCTCTTTGCCTCTTAATGTCAAGAGCTGTTTGGGCTCAGTCAGGTCACCCTAGGGAATGGGCGGTAGTTCTTGGCTGGTCATAAATGGATAACACAGATTGATTTCTACACAGTTCCTATTAGTTGGTAGAGACAGTCTCTCAAAATGGGACTTCCATGGAAAAAAAAGTAAAAGTTTAACAAGTATTCCTTGGTAGCTTCATGAACTGGACCCTATGTATTTTAAGGTCAAGCAGTCAATGACTGTGAGTTATTCTAGGCCAGCAAGAAGATAGATCTGATGTCAGATCTTAGTCAAAAGTAGGACTTTGGAGAATTAAGGAATCTGAGGAGCCAGATAGGGACATGGAACCACGATGGGGTTGCAATGTGATCACGGTGCAAAGGCAAGGCCTGCCCTGGAAAATTAGACTTTGGTGTCAAGATAAGGTGACAGAAGCAAGAAAAGGCTCTTAGCTGTTTGTACTCGGTGCAGCAGAGGCTGGAGAAGAGATTATGGAGGTAGGGGGCCTTGATCCAGGGTTCTTCAGGGTCCCAGCAAGAGGTATAAAGCTAAACTATACAGTCAGGATGGGGAGAGAAATAGATGGCTAGGGAAGACCACTGTAAACTATCAAGCAAACCTAGGAGCAATCCTAGGGTTTTCTGCTTGTTGCGGTGGGAAACCAGGTTTGGAAAAGAATTTAGTTTGGATAAACCAAGTTTGAAATGGTCACAGAGTCTACAGGCAGCTGGAGCTCAGGAGGGAGGTCCAGGCTGGGGAGAGCCTGCCGCTGACGTTTAGAGAGGGAAGGAGGAGCCTGAGGAGGACCCAGACAGACGCGGCCAGGGAAGCAAGAGGACAAGTTCTGTGTGGTGGCGTCTCCAGGTCCAGGACTACGGGGCTGTCTGGCCGCTGAAGTGAATTTAGGCCACAGCACTGCTGGCCCTCATTAACTCTCTCCTCCTCCCCAGTGCAGCCCCAACATGGGCAATGTGCAAGAGCGGCCGTCGGAGATTATAGACCGCGAGCGGAAACGCCTAGTAGAGACTCTGCAGGCAGATTCCGGGCTGTTACTGGACGCACTGGTGGCGCGGGGCTTGCTCACCGGGCCGGAGTATGAGGCGCTGGATGCACTGCCTGACGGCGAGCGCAGGATACGCCGCTTGCTGCTGCTGGTGCAAAGCAAGGGCGAGGCTGCCTGCCAGGAGCTACTGCGCTGTGCCCAGCAAACCGTGCACACACCAGACCCTCTCTGGGACTGGAAGCACGTGGGCCCGGGTGAGTGCGTGTGTGGGGCGTGGCCTCTGCCACATAAGGTTTGGGCGTGGCCTGGGGTGGAGCAAAGGCTAAGCAGAGGGTGGAGCTATCCATCCCTCCAAGAAGTTAGCCGAGAGAATACAAGGTAATCCCAGAGGGTAAATTGAGCCTGAGACACTGCTACCCCACTTTAGGCTACCGCGACCGCAGCTATGATCCTCCATGCCCAGGCCACTGGACGCCTGAGGCACCCAGTTCTGGGACTGCATATCCTGGGTTGCCCAGAGCTTCAGATAATGAGGAAGCCAGGGATCCAGAAGGCTCTGGGGCCGTGCAACCAGAGATTGCAGAAGAGCCAGATCTGGAAGCTGAGGCCTCTGAAGAGGCTGAGCCGGGCCAGGAACCTGAGATGGATCCAGAGCCAGAGCCAGAACCTGAACTGGAACCAGAGCCTGATCCAGAGCCAGAGCCAGAGCCGGAGCCAGAGGACTACCAGGAAGGGGACGAATCTGAAGGTGTGAGAGGGCCCAAACCTTCTGAGGACTGGTGGAGGGCATGGCTCCTGAAGTGGGGGGCAGACTCCACCCCCTTGACCACTGTTTCCTTCACCTCTAGATTCCTGAAGGCCGGAGTGCTGACCTGTCTTTCTCACCTCAGCCCAAGCCAGACAGACAGGACCTGGCATCCTGCTGGAGCTACATTTGATGGTATCAAGGCTCCATCTGGCCTGCTGAAAGTGAATAAACTCCAGGGGCTCAGACTGGACCGAGGCTTTTTCCATGATTCTGGCTGTTTTCCCAGAACTGAGGGTGGGTGCATGTCTCTGAGTTCCAGTAACCTGGGCAGCCCTGTGCCCCAGAAAATTCTGCTGCCCAGTCCATAGGTCCTTTCTGTGCTCAGTGGCCCAAGCTGCACCCCAAGGATCCCAGACCCAGATCCCTAGAGGGACAAGGACCTCACCCCTGGATCTTGCTCCACCATTTTTCCTCTCATGAGCCATTTGGGGGCCTGTGTAGGTGGTTCCAAACCATGAGCTTGAGGTAGTAAGAAAAGGGGGACTTCTGTCACTTAGGGAAAGCTTTGAGCTCACAGTTAGATTTAAAAAAAAAAAAAAAAAAAAGGAAATTGGGAGAGACCTTGAGTAGATGAAGCTACACACATTGTTGTGACTGCTCTTTTAATTGCCTGGCTTCCCTCTGAACTGGAAGCTCAGTAAGGGCTCTAACCAGAAACTGGTACACACAAGGCGCTCTATACACATACATAGACTAAACAAGTAAGAACTTTCCTGCTACTTTTCTGAGTCTTACCAATGAGAAAATTAAGGCCCAGGGAGGGAACAGGACTGAGTCAACCTCACAAAGCCGACTCTGAAATAAAACTAGAAACAACAGTCAGCTCAATACCTCTCCCAGTCCAGGAGGGTCTCAGAGTTGGGACAACAAGCCCTAGGGCCTGCCCTTTAGGCTTGATCAGGAGTACTGCCAGGCTACGCCAACTTACCCCACAGAGCAGTTGAGGGTCTGAGCAAAGATATGAGCAGTAGAGGCCAGTGGAAAAGTGAGGGCAGGACCACAGGTAAGCTCTTGGGCTGGACACACAAGGCTTGAAGATGCGCACGCATACGAGTGTCTGTAATGAGTGAGGCTAGGAACAACTGGTACCTTTTAGGAGTGTCCTGTCCCTCTGCTTAACCCTCATGCACCACTTCCTCTCAGCCCCATGAAGTAGAACACATAAATATGAATAAATAAATGACCAGTAAGAGAGGCAAAATACTGGAAAGCAAACCCCAGCCCAGCTGGGTCTCTACTCCACGGATCCCTGGCCCTCTGAGTCTGTATGAAAGCTAGGACCCCAGGCCCAAGCAATCACCCCAGAAGAAGATATCCCAACTGCCATCAGAACCCAGTGAGAGGTAGACAGCACGAATGCTGAAAGAGCACCACGGGCCAGGTGGAGAAGGGAGAGACTAGAGTACTCAATACCCAAAGCCATCTCATGCAAGAGCAAGTTTCTACTCCTAAACCACCCCCCAAATCCCCATCAATGCTTGTCCATCTTGTTCTCAGGTCTCCCTTCTTCAACAGTTTGCCTGACATGCTGCTGCTGGTCCACAGGCCTCAGGAACACCAGCAAGGGACAAAACCTTCTGATATTGCTGCCTCTTCTCCCACGATGCTCCTGGCCTCCCATGCCCCCAAGAAACATCTAGGCTGTGGCAGCAAAGAGCAGACAGCTTCATGTTCTGGGGGCGGATCTAGAGGTTTCTGTCCAGAGCTTTTGCCTGTAGCTGTTAACCAACATCAGTCAGGCAGGAGACGACCCAGCTCTGCCTCATCAAGACGGTTGGTAGCCATGATGTGGTCCAGCTGCTGCTGGTAGCGTTCCAAGTCCTGCATGAAGTGGGGTACTCTGGTGTTATCCAGTACCCCATATGGCCGCAAATGGTCCACATCCTCGTAGGAGACCTGCAGGGAGGAAGCCAAGCCTCAGGGCTAGGCAGAGCTCCCTAGCTTTGAGGAAGCTGGTTCTAGCTCTGCTGATGGCTCATGGCCATTTGGTCTGGGATTCTTTTTTCTCCCTTCCTGATGCACAACCATGTTATATGCCTCTAGGCTTAGTTCTGGGTCTTCATTCTTTAAGCACCTTACCTATGACTTATAACCTCACTCCTCACCAGCCCCCTCAATCTCCTTGTCTCCAGATACGGGTATCCAGCCAGTCCCTGGATATCTTCCAGGCACTTCCTCACATCTAACAAGCATTCCTAGATCCCAGCTCCATGTCTTTAGTTACCCAATTCAGGTTCCAGTGTGTGCAGGGGTCCCTGGTCTCACCCTCTCACTCAGTCAAGGTGACTGCTGAAATAAAGGGATTCCACTCTATGGACTTTTTTTTTTTTTTTGAGACAGGGTCTTGCTATGTAGCCCGGGTTGGCCTCAAACTCGTAATAATCCTTCTGCCTCAGCCTCCCAAGCACTGGGATTGCAGTTTGAGCCACCAGTCCTAGCCTCAAGATGTCTTTAGTTTTCCCCTCCTCTCTAGCCTCATGGCTGTTGTTCAGTCAGGCCAGACCACCATCAAGGCTGGGAGGGTGATGGGAGGAGCTCTTCCTCTTGCTCCGTACTCCCTTTCCTAGGCTTCTATATCCAGCCTACCTCCCATATGACATCAGAGGGCGCCTTCTAAAGCCTCTGGCTTCTCACTGCTTTGGATGATGTCTTTCCTCAGCCTTGCACAAATGCCCAGCATGAGGAACTTGTTCCTGGATATTACTCCAGTGTCCTTCCACAGCCCTTCCCGACTGCTCCTTTGGGCTTTGCAATATAACATCTACACACGAATCTGCAGGCTAGGTCAGGCACCTGCTCGTGGCTGTCAGACTGTCATTTCATCACCTCTGCTAACCTCCATCCACATTCCTCTCACCAGTCCATACTAGCTGGTTGGTGCCTCTAAAGGCTTAGCCACTCACCTTGCCCAGAGAGGTCAGCAGTGGGAAGTTGATGGTTTGGCGGTGCCGCAGAATGCGCAGGATGCCATCCAGGTACACCTGGTCCTTGCTGAAACAGCCTGTGAGGACTGAGTCATGAGACCTTGTTCCAAAGCTCTGCCCCTTACCCTGCCCAGTTCAGGCCCCGCCCCTGTATTGGGCCCACCTGGCTTGGAGGTGTCTGTCTGGCCACGCTTGGCACGCACACAGTACTCCCAGCGCACGTTAGCATCTTGCACATAGCGCTCCAGGTCTTGGAAGAGCTGGTGGAAGGACATGTGTGCAGCACGGTGGATGGTGTAGTAGAGCAGAGCTGCACGCCACAGGAAAGGCTGCTTGCGGAACAGCACGCTGTGCAGGCTGGCTAGGCCCTCCTCAGTGGGGTTGGCTGGCCGTAGCCCATACTGCACCCGGCCCTCAGCGCTGTGCCAAGGCTGTTGCGCGTTATTCACGCCTCGAAGGTAGTGAGTGCCTGCGGGAAGGCAAGGGTAGAAGGCAACGCTAGGTGGCAGTGCATCTGGAGGACACACCAGGCGAACCTCTAGTAGCAAGTCTTGTATCTTCATGCCCCCAAAATCACACTTTTACACAAATTTTCCCCAGCCCCAAACACATACTTACCCAATCTGAGGCGCCATGGAGACTCTCCTCAGGTGAACCCACATTCATACAGGCTTACATGCATGAATCCTCCCCAATCCATCCAGGGCTACACACTCAAACTCCCCCAATTTATACTGCCCCAGCCCACTTAGAGACAGTCAAGGAACACACACCACTTGGTCCCCACACCCCAAGTGCCCATATCAATCATTTGGACAGTCATGTTGATGCCCCAGCAAAACCACTTCTCGCCCAGAGCAACAGGATTCTTGATAAGGGAGGAGACAGAAAGGAATAGTGATTAGTGTCCTCTGCCCTCCTTCCCGGCTATCATGTCCCCTCCTAAACTGGGCTCTATATGTCCCTTACTAGAATCTGGCCTCCCATCCACATTGGACTCTCCCTCTGGCTGGTGGGATTCTCCTTCTGGCCTGCCAGTGCCTCAGCAGCCTTCCTCTGTCAAGGAAATCAGAGGAATTGGAAGGAGAAAAAGACACCCCAAAGAAACAAGAAATGAAGGTGAGTAGGTATGTTCTGGCCTACCTCTGTGAGCAAGAGGGAAGAACTAGCTGCTCTGGAGAGAAAGAGGAAAAACAAAGGAGGGGGTTACGGGGACCCTCATCACCTCCCCCACACTCAGGCCCCTCTCATCCCTACCCACTCCCAACCACACCCCCAGCCTGACCTATCTCATGCCGCAGCATGCCCTCCAGCCAGTACTGGCGGGCTCCCGTCAGGTTGATGGCCAGTGTGGGTCGGCTGTTTTCCACCATCATCACTGCCTGGGACAGCAGGTCCTCACTCAGCTGCACCACAATCTGCAGGCGGCAGTATTCTGAGCCATGGCTAGCAGCCCTGGGGCCAGTTTGCAGGCAGGCCCACCCACACCACAGAGGTGCCAGACTGGGCACTGGCTAGCACACCCACCCTTCACAACCCTTGATTATAGCCAGCTCCCACCTTCCTGGGGCAGGGATCTGTCTGGAATTACCACCTAGCCAGGTATATAGCTAAACCTGGGCCTACCCAATCTGAATTTGGGCCCTGCAGGTAGGGCAAGCTCACCTCCCCAACGCAGCCCTCCTTCTGCATGTATTTGCGCACAGTAGACCAAATCTGGCACTTGGTCAGCAGCTGGCCCCCAGTGGCAGCCTCAAAGTGTTCATAGGTACCAAACTTCTCCAGAACAGCCTCAATGATGCCAATTGCCTATACACAGAGCCAAAGTAGCCAGGTCAGCCTGATTCCCTTAGGAAGTCAGGACCAGGGTGAGGTAGGCAGGTTGGACTCACCTGATGAATGAACTGTCCAGAGGCCTCACAGTACTTCTCCAGCACAGTCGTAGGCATGGGCTCCTGGTACTCAAACTGTGGATTGTAGGTATAATGGGACTGGAAAAATTTTTCCCGTTCGTGGTCCATGTTGGTTGGTCTCAGGGCCACTAACATACAGGGACTCTTGCCAATTCCATTGCCTACATTCCTTCGAGTCTTAGCAATGTGAGGCAGGGAGGCTGCAGATCGCAAGGTACCACCACCTGGCTCCCGTCCACGTGGGGCACGACCCTGGCTGCTGCGTCCCCGATGACCAGTACTATTTACAGAATAGGTGCTCTCACTACGACGCATGTGGCCACGGTGGCCCAAGGGCTGCTTTGAGAAAGGCTGCTGTTCAGGCTGGAGCTGCAGCACAGAGGGAACTGCCAGAGCCAAAGGCGCAGCCAGGGACTGAGGCCAGGGGTACAGCCGTGTCCCATCTCGGTCTGAGGGCTTCAGCCTACGGTGCAGGGACAGGGGACTGGTAGAAGGAGGGCTGGGAGGTACCCGCTCATACACCTGAGCCCCCGAATCCAGCACCATTCTGTCTTGAAGATCACATCCAGCCTGTTGCTTGGAATCCCCACACTGTTGACCTCTGAGGACACAGAAGGGCATATGGAGACCAGCATGAGTCTCCAGTCATGAGTCTCCAGCAGGAGTCAAAGGAGCAGCAGCCCCTATGCTCCATGTGAACCCTTCTGGATATTTAGAGGGTCTGCTGTGTCCCACCCCAGCACAGAGTCCATTCCTTCTTTTTTCTTTTTTTTTTTTTTAATCGGTACCGGGGATCGAACTCATGACTGCCTGCTTCTAGCAGGCTTAGTCAAGTAACCTGGGCTGAGCAAAACAATAGAGAATTGTTTTTTGTTTCGGGTTTTTTGTCTGTTTGATTGTTTTTGTTGTTGTTTTGTTTTGTTGCTTTTTTGAGATAGGATCTTGCTTTTTAGTTCAGGATGGCCTGGAACTCATTATTTAGCCCAGGTTGGCCTCAAATTTACAACAATCCTCCTGCCTCAGCCTCCCAAGTGCTGGAATTACAGGCATGAGCTACCCATACCCAGCAAGAGGGTGAGTTTTATATACTGACGTAGGTATACTTACTGGAATGCCCTTAGTCTGTGAGCTCTGGAGGACTGAGGCCCTACTTGTGGTTCTAACCTCTGTGCTCAGCACTTACCCAGTGCAAAAGCTGGCAAAGTGCATACTCAGCTGGCTGAATATAGGCGAGGAGCCTCCAGAGGCTGCCTTCTACAGATGGCATCATCTCAATCCCGCACCACCCTTCCCACCTGCCTCTGCCCACATCCCACTGCCCATTTTGCCTCAGTCAACTGGAATGCTTGTATGCTTCTTGTTTACACCAGCTCCCACCTGAGATGCCCTCTCTCCGCTGGACCATCTGTTCAAATCCAAGTTAGAATCTGCTTTTGGAAAGAAGAGGGGAACTCACAAACCCAAACCAATCTCTGGCCTGTCTCCTGTGTGAGACATCTTTTCAGGGGTCATCCAAGGCCAGTGTCAGGGCGCTTACTCCTGACACTGTGCCAGGGCTAAGCCCAATATAACCTCTCCCTGGGCTGGGGATTTAGCTCAGCGGCATAACCACCTGCCTTGCAAGTATGTGGTCATGACTTCAATCCCTGGTACTGATAAAAAAGAAAAAGACAAATATATATATATATATATAAAACCTCTCCCTAAAGACTGATTGGCAGCCCCAGGCTCAAAGCTCCCTTGCCTGCACAGGAACTCAGTTCCAACATTTCTCTGTTTTCCAACATCATCAATCTCTTTCTCATCCACTGGATGAATACATGCTGTTATTGCTCCATCTTAAAAAATAAAACCTTGTAAAAAAAATAAAACCTTGTGATTCTCTCCTTGAGATCCTTTAAGAGGTATCTGAAACTGAATATATTACATAGAGTTTTTCCCTCATATAAGGTGTGGGACACTCTCATCAAATTTCTGCACAAAAACCATGTTACTAAAAAAGCCACTGCAGTACATCTCTATAAAACAGTCAACCACCCATCCCGTCCCGTCTCCACAACTCTCACTCCTGAAATTATTGTTCCCTATAGAAGTTATCACTACCTGAAATATACTGCAGTAAACGTTATGCTCAAATACTTGATTATGTTTTCTCATTTCCAGTGTTCACAATTGTGGCCCTAGAACTCAAAACAGTACCTGACTCACAGCAGCTGCTCAATAAATCCTCCCTTCTCAGAACTAGAACCTTTCTTACCCAGCCCTTTGTTTCTCCTGATCTTCCCCCTTTTCCTTTACCTTGCTTAGTGATCAGCTACTTGAAAAAGATTTCAGATCCCCAAGCTTCATTCCCTGCAACTAAATGTACACTTCCTGGACTCACTTGTCTCCAAACCATTACCTGGGCCAAGCCCTTCTTTCATTTGACCTACCTCCTCTCAACTACCAGGATACACCTGTTTCTTTCACATGTCTGCACTTTCCGCCAAGAATGCCCTCACAATACCTCCCTGGAGTTAAATGCTTAACTATCTTTCAGGGCGGAGTTTAGATCTCACCTCCTCCAGGATGCTTTCCAGGCACCTAAAAGGTCCCAGTTTCTTGATGGGTATATATATCGGTACCGGGGATGGAACTCACGACCACACACTTGCAAGGCAGGTGCTTATGCCGCTGAGCTAAATTCCCAGCGGTATGTATTTTTTTAACCTCCCTAGGTTATCACCGTTGGTGCCTAAGTCCATGTCCCCCCACCATCCTCTAGGGCAGACACTGGTTTGACTCACCCTCATAACCCAAGCACCAGCAATAGATGCAGAATGAATGAAGACTGGGCGGGGGAGGAACCTGACTACTGAAGGCGGGGTCTGGTGACAAATAAGAGGGTGTGGCCTGCACCAATAAGAAACCCCTGGGAGAAGGTAACGTGGAAGAAGAGCCAATGGGGACCGAGTGGCCCACGAGGGGCGTAACCTGCAGCCAATAAGCGGCGATGGATAGCAAAGAGCGTGCCCAATAGAGGGCGGGGCCAGGAGACAATGGCGTAAGGGGGTTTCTGGCAGATCAAGAAGGGTCGCGTCGCCAGTCTTGTATCGGCTTTTGCTGTGTAAAAGGAGAGTTAAGTCCGCGTGCCGCGCCCCTACCTGTTCGCTTCTTTTCTTTCTGCCCGTGGTTCCCGTTCCGCAGAGTCGGTCGCCCACCTCCTAGCCCGCGAGAGCAGACGCAGTTGTCGCACACTCTCGGGCGCGCGCACGCTCATAAGAAAGCGCGCGGATTCACGTCAGTCTCCGCAGCGGCGCGCACCGAAGACCACCGTGGGCCGGGCCAGGCAGGGCTGAGGGGGCGGGGTTTGGCATCTCGCCGCCCCCCCGCGCGGGAGTGTTGCCTTAGGCCCGCTGCTTTCCGGCTTCCCCGGCGACTCCGTGGAGGTACCCGGGTCGCAGAGACACCACCTCAAGGCCGAGGGGTAAATATTTGAGGACCTCCTCTACACAACCGGCAGGAGTCCGAGTGCTGTGCACCGCAGTCCACGCAAAGGGCCGATGTTTGGATAGGTGCGGCGCTGCCCGTAAAGCCGACGGCGGCGAGGATGCCTTGGACTTGTCACTGCTTGGAGCTCACTAAGCTCCACCAGCACTTTTATTTCACCCCTCCCAACCCGCCTTCTCCAACACAGATATTCAGGCATAGGGCGGGGGAGACAGACTTTATTCCGCAGGGACTGGGCGTCAGGAGCAGAGCCCTGAGAGGCAGGTGGAGAGGGAAGGCGTAGGCGCCGGCACGAGGCTGAAGAGTGCGCGGCGGCCCGTGAGGGGCGAGGGCGGCGGGCCGGCCTCCAGTGAGCTGAGAACCGCCTGGCGCTGCTCTCGAGACACGTCCCCGCGGAGATCCAAGAGGGCCGAGACGTGGTCTTCGCTGCGGGGACGCCCCCCCCCCCGAGGTGCGTCAGCCCCGCCCTTCCCCTCCCGGGCTCCTCCCCCGCTCCGTCACAGCCCCCAGCACCTCACGTCGGGAAACTGTTGCTGCAGGCTTGCCACCTCCAGACCAAGCAGCGTTGGGTCACAGAGGTTCAGCAGTTCCCTCACGGCCAGTAGCACCGGCGTGCAATGCGCGCTCTCCTCCAGGCCCTGGGGACGTTGGGGTCGAATTTTTAGCCGGGCCTTCGCTCCCACTCACCACACAGATTCTCCTGTTTGCACGTTCAACAACCGCTCACCAAACTGAGGAAAAGCTCTTTAAGCTGGGTGGCATCGTGCTGTAGGCGCTCGGCCGCCTGGGCCCTCTCGTCCGCGCTGCGGCACACGAGGCGGCCTTGCATCAGCGCATGTAGATACTGCACCACCACGGTGCGCTCTGCCTCGGCCAGCAGCACCTGCAGGGAATGAGATAGGTCTAGATCGCCCTTTCCATCCACGTTCCCCCGCCTCAGTCTTTCGCCCTTCGCACCTGAACTGCGGGGTGCCGAACGCGCCTGAAGTCACGGCAGAAGTTCGATGTTTGCTTGTACACACAGTCCAGCAACTCAGAGCTTGATAGCCATTGGCGCGAAGGCAGAGCCGCGAACAGAGGCTAGGGAAGAAGAGTGGGTTGGAGACCAGGTTGGAGAAACGATCCAGATCTGGCAGTCCCTGCAGACCCCCTTACTTACACCATATCTCCACCTCCCACCCACATTTCGATGAGAAGGAAGTCTCACCCGGAGCTCCACCTGCAGAGCCTCCAACACCAGGCGGCAGATCCTCTTCTGTAACTCGTCCAGCCCTGCTTCCACCGGAGCCAAGACCCCGGGAGCCACTCCGTCGAGGTGCAGGACAGTCAAGGAGGCGCTGGACCGACCAAAACCTCGACTTCAGGACCAAGGCCAAGGCCTGCACGGCCCTCAGCCACTAGGGTGCCACCTGCTGGCGCAAGTATGTGGCGGAGGAGGGCGGGGAAAGGCAGTGTCCTGTAATTCTGAGGCTTAAAGTTATCTGTCAAGACTAGGAGGGATGTGTTCAGCAGCTACAAGAGAGACACCACCAAGCAGAACCTGCCTCGAATTCATAGTGTGACCATGAGTAAATCATTCTTTCTGTTTGTTTCCTCATCCATAAGAGAAGTAAAAACCACTTGTCTGTCCTTCCTATCTTCAGCACAAACAGCATAGCATCCAATAGGAAGAGATTTGTTTTGTCCACAACAGTAACCCCAGACATTACCTGGCATTGAGTGGAGCATTGATACATATTTGTTGACAGGATGAGTAATTGTCACTGTGTGCACCTTATCTCCATTTATCTTATGTGACTCACAGACCAATCCATTATTACCCACGTAATACTAATGAGAAAAGTGAGACTCAGGTAACTTCCTCCAAGGACCTGCAGCTAGTAATTAGCAGAACTAGGATTATAACCCCTTCGTGTGTTACTAGGAACCCAGAGTTCCTAGAAGCCTAGTGTGGGTAGAAACATACGTTGTACAAATGAAGTGGCATTAGTGAAGGTAGCTTTTGCTTGGGAGCGGGGAGGGCGTCTAGTACCTCAGTGCTGATTGGTGGTTGAGGGCAGCCAGTAGGTAGGACACATAGTGAGGGGCTGGGGCTTCCCCATTGAGGTGGTCTTGGGAGAACTGGATCAGAGCATCACCGAAGCTGCAATGGGCAGAGCGGCTCTTCAATTTGTTGCTACTTTGATGCTTCCACAGGCCCATTCCCCATACTCCCATCCCACTAGCAAGTACTTGTTTGGAGGAGCCCTTTCCCATTGGTATGTCCTATCCATTCGAAGGCCTTTTGGGATCCCCTGGGAGTGGGTACATGCTTGCCAGACCTCCTTAGGAATGTGCCCAGTTCTGATAGTGCCATGTCATGCACCCGGTGCTGCAGCGACTCACTGACCATGCTGGTCAGATGAATGTTCTCAGCCAGCATCTACAGGCGGGAACAGACAACCATCAGCAAAGCTCCTGTAGTCCTGCCCTCTTTTCCCTTCCCTATGGGGATGCCCACCTATCTGATCACTTTCCCACCCACCTGCAGTACAATAGCTGGCATTGGTGAGTGGTAGAAGCCAGAGGCATCTGTGTTGGGCTCCTCCTCCCGGCCCCACTCAGCTACCTCCCCATCCAGTGCCTTCTGTAGCCACTGGGCCACACTTGCCTGGAACAAGAAGCGAGGGACAGTGGATGGGATACAGGATGGCACTGATCTAGCCAGAGATAGGTAGACATAGGATTCTACAGATAAATACTGCAGCCAATGGACAAAGCATCTCTCTGTGCCCTGACTACTCACCTGGACTTTGATCACAAATGTTGCCTCCAGCTTTTCAATGTTCCCCAAGGTCAAGAGGGGCTCCAGCTGAGACACATCAGCCTCAGGCCCCAACTCCAAGCCGCCCATCATTTCCTGCCTGAACATAGGTGGCCCAGCATCACACTGAGCCCCCAACCTCCAATCCTCCCACTTTTTACTGTCTCCAAGACACTGACCCCAGGTACACATGCAGCGCCCAATGTAGCAAGGCGAAGGCATCAGCAGCTCCCAGCTCAGGCCCTTCAAGGAGTTGCTGCAGGCTGCGGCGAAGGCCATTGTGCAGGGTGTGGGACCATAGCTGGACCACGTTGTAGTGTGGCGGGCAGCAAGGTGCTACTAGTGCCTCAGCTGTGGCCAGCTCAGCAGGCAGGGCCACCTGCAGAGCCTTCAGCCACTCTGCTAGGGACCCTGGCTCAGGCAGCACAGTTGTTCCAAAGTGGACCTGCTCCAGACCTGCTTGTAGTGCCTGCAGACAGCGCTGCTGCCAGTCTCGGGGGACCTGTCCCGGTGGAGTTGAACGCCCAGCCTCCATCTCTGCTACCCGAATAGCAGCCACCAGCAGGGCTGGATCTGTCCGTGCCAGCTGTCCTGCAGCCCCTGCAGCTGCCTCCACAGCATGGCCCAATGCCTCAGCCAGATGACCCAGCCCCTGGAAGACTGGCAACTCCAGGCCCCCCAAGGATACCCATGCCTCCTCTTGCAGCTGCTCCAACTCCCGCAGGCTCACGTATGCCTCCAAGAGTTTTTGGGCATCGATCAGCATCTTTGTTTGGGTCACTGAAGCAGGCACTAATGAAAGAAAGGAGACAGCCTTGGGTCTGAGCCTTTCCATCTGTTTAATGGGTATAGTAAGGGATACTGAGACCCTGAGACTGGGTGATGTATGAAACATATAATAGCCATTACAGTATAGCATTGGCCAATAAGAAAAGATTCAGGCAAAGTTTTAGAGGTTTGGTAGGTCAGATGAAAATCAGTGAGCTAATGGAATATAAGAAGCTCAAAGACATTGAAAAGGTGGCAGAAAAAAACTGAGGGCTATACTAGTTGCTGTTCACTCACTCTGCTCAAGAAATATGCTGGGGCCCCACAAATGCTAAGCACTTGCTCTCCCAGTGATTTATATTCCTAGCTCTTTTTCATTTTAGTATATTTTCTTTGTTTTTTTTTTGAGATGGAGTCTCCCTATGTAGTTCAGGTTGGCTTTGAATTCACTATGTAGCCTAGGCTGGCCTTGAATTCTTGTCGATCCTCCTGCCTCAGCCTCTGGAGTACTGGGATCACAGATTGTGCCACCATATCTGGCTTCCCCCAGCCCTTTCAACATATTAACAACCAAGTTATCCAGAGAAATATGAAGGGAATCCATCCTGATTCAAACAGCCCAAGCTTGAGAACCTCAGGATGAGCTGATTTTGCATTCTGCTTCATATGCTTCTAGGGCTCATGTGTCTTCATGCAATCCCCTATGAGTGCCCCAGCCCCTTGATCAGTGATGGATGTTTAAGGACTGACTGTTGAAAGCTAAGGCCCAGGATTCTGCAAACTCACCTGCCTGCAGCCGTGGCAGCAACTGAGATAGGGCCTGCAGCTGCTTGTGCTGGACAGCCTGCTCCCGCAGGGCCTCTAGGGCCTTTGAGGCCTGAGCCATGTCCTGGATCAACCCATGGGTCTGGCTCAAGGCTTCACGGGCTCCTTGCACAGCCTCAAGAGCCTGGGACAGCTGCCACATACCAGTTTGCACACCTTCCAGGTATGACTGCACCACTGACTGTGGAGAGACGTAACTAATGAGGCCTGGCCATACCTGAAGCCTACCCCAACACTGCTGCCCCCACCCATGCCCACCTTGATGCGTGCTTCCAGGAAGCAGGTACGCTGCACCTCACGGCTCCGGTACTGGCCCAGTCGGGCCAGTTGTTCTGGCCGGTAGAAGATACCTGAGGCCCACTTGAGTGCTGCACCTCTGGCCAACTGCTCTGCCCTCTCTTGCTCTGGCCACTCAGGCCCTGGGCAGTAAGAGCCTGGGCAGTTTTGTGAGTCAGAAAGGGCCTGGAGCCACTGACCCTACTGCCTTTCCTAGTCCTCAGCATGTCCCTGGAACAGTCTACTCCTTACTATCCCATAGAGCTCCAGCCAGACCTGGCAGGGGAGACCCAACTCCACCATTCACATCTTTCTTGCCATCATCCCTCCCACAGCCCATCCAACAGGCTCATACCAGAGGAAAGTGTGGGCTGTGTTTTGTCCTTGACTGCTGACTCCATGACAGACCTGGAGGAGCAGGAGCTGAGGTGGGAGTGGGGGCAAGGGTTAGGGAAGAATGGGTATTCCCTTGGGCTGCTATCTCTGCCTGGGCTCTTCTGAGAAAGGAGGGAGGTGCCTGCCTACCTGCTCAGGAAATGAGAGTGGTGGTGTGATGAGGAGGCACCTGGCAGGCCTTTGCTGAGGGGTTTCTGGGTTATGCCAGGGAAGGCAAAGTGGATACAGGCTTTACTTGACATCTCTAAGGCTCTGTTTCTGCTCTGAGATGTCCAGGATAGTTTAGGAAAGGACTTACCAGCCTTAACCAGGCGTCTGGTTCTCCCTCCTCTGCTAGCAGCCTTGGCCTTGGGAATGGCCTTTTCCCCTCTGCAGTGCTGGCAACGCCTTCCACTGCTCCCAAGGCCTGGGTGACTTCAACTGCTTTGGCACACAGCAGCAGAATTCCTTTTCCCAAGGAAGCTTCTCACCCACTTCCTAGCCCAGAAACCCCTTCTTTTCTCCAAGGCCCCTCCCCTAAGGCAGAAAGGAAGGAAGCTGAGTCTCTGGTGCTTTATTCCCAACAGGAAAGAGCATCTGCACTGAGGTGGGGAGGGCTGGGCGCCACTTCCGTAGGGATGGGGGCAGGGATGTGTTCGCTGTGTTGACCAATTCTTATTTTTCCTTGTGGATTTTTAAAAAATTTTATTGGTATATTTTAGATATGCATAATGATAACATTCATCATAGGAAATTTGTGCCTGTACCTGATATACATTACTTCTTTTTTCCCATTCCCCTTCCCTCCCTTTAACCCTTGCTTCCTTCCTTATTTACAAAAGCTTTGTTTCCATTTTTCCCCCTTCTGTTCTTTTTCTTTGACCCATCTTTCCTTTCCCCACATCATCAGTTCTTGACCATCCACCTTGGACATTTTTGGTGTTGGGGAGAGAGATGTGGCTTCAACTTTGAGCGAAGAGTAAAGTGTAGCATGTGGATGCAGACAACACTGCAGTATGAAAATTGTGCAGTTGGGCCACTAGAAGAGGATGAGTACCTCTGTGGAGGAGAGACCATAGGTTATTGGGAAGAGGGCCAGTAGTGGAGGATGGTCTGACAAAGATCATGATGATTGTGTTCATCTGGAGGGATAGGGAGCCATGGAATGGACTACAGGGTACAGCATTCAAGTCCACCTCAGCACTCAGTGCCCGGGTATGCTGACTGCTGAGGTCTCATAGCTGGAGCTCTGAGTCAGTACTGAGGTCCTCTTGCATGGGTATGAGTACCTCAGAAGGATCCTACCACTTTCATAGCCAGTGGAGTGGGCTGAAGTCTCTATTATAGCTGCCTCTGTCCATTTCTGCTTGTCTTAATCCCTTACAAGTGTGAGTCCTCAATTGACTTGCTATAGATAGATCCCCATCTCAGTCTATTTACTACAGAACCTCACCTAACATAAATGACAATAAATACAAGTAATAAATAATAACAGCGTTAAAGATAACAAAACAATAGTAGCAAACATAATCCTCCCTACATGTCAGAAAATGCTCTAAGGGATTCATTTATAATATTCACACATAGGTCAACATCTGCGTTGGCTGAGAAGTGATTGTAAAAGAGTCTCGTGGCCTCTGGGCACTGTAGTATGGAGATCAAAGAAAGATGATGCTGAGACCAGAGAAGGAGAATAGGGATAATGTAGTTAATGCTTGCTGTTTTGGCAGCAAGAAATAAGGTGGGAGGGGCTGGGGATTTAGCTCAGCGGCATAAGCACCTGCCTTGCAAGCAGGCGGTCGTGAGTTCGATCCTCGGTACCGGGGGGGGGGGGGGGATAGGGTGGGTAACTCCAAGACACTGAGGTAGCTTTGAGGAGCAGATTAGGGGAAATAGTTTCTTCTGCACACTATAGAGTAGAGTTAGTAGTTTGTAGCTAGATTGGCAAGAAACGTTCCAGTGGCTTCCTGTTCTGTATTGTTGGGATTGATCACCGACTGCCTGTACATCCCTCCCCAGTTTATCTAGTCTCTGAGGCACCTTCCTCAGCCTCCTGAGTGCTGGAATTACAGTGATGTGCCACCACTCCCTGCCTTTCGTCTGCTTCTGCGGTTAGACATTTGCTGATGGTCCCGGGAGTTTGACGTCCCTGCATACATACAGGAATTGCGCTACGTTCCCTGAGACTGTGCGGGGCGGAAGCGGAAGCAGCGATAGTGGTTGAGGATGGTTCCGGCGGCTTGGTGGCCGGGAACGGAAGCGGAAGTGGCGGCGGCGCCGGCCTGGCCAGGCCTGGCTCAGGGGAGGCGGCCGGCGGTCGCGATGGCGGAGGCCGGGTCGCAGGCTCCGCCGCCCCCAGGAACCCCAAGCCGGCACGAGAAGAGCCTGGGACTTCTCACCACCAAGTTCGTGTCACTTCTACAGGAGGCCAAGGACGGCGTGCTTGACCTCAAGCTGGTGCGGCCTGGGCTAAAGGGGCGACATGGGGAATAGTGGGCCAGGCCTTGGCCGGTAGCGTGAACCTCCAGGGCAGCCCCGCTGAGTCCTTCCAGGGACGCCCGCCACCCATGTGCTTTCTCACAGGAAAGAGGCCCGGGGGACTTTTTCATTCATTCGGCTGAAGCTATTGCGTGTCAACTACGTGCCAGACTCGGGGTTGCAGGTGCTGGCCCTCGTGGCCCTTCCTGGCTGGCATGGGGAAAAAAGTATCAGAACACCCAGGTCTCTTTCTGCCCTGCGGTCATGAGCTGCTGTATTGCGGAGATGCTGTGGGTTGGGATCCCGGGAACCCTCTTCTGAGACCACCCCAAGGTAACCGGGATATACCCTAGAGTGGGGCTGAAAAGGCACCACTCTGTTTTGTCTGCCAGGCAGCTGACACCCTAGCTGTGCGCCAGAAACGGCGGATTTATGACATTACCAACGTGTTGGAAGGTATTGGGCTGATCGAGAAAAAATCCAAGAACAGCATCCAGTGGAAGTGAGTGGAACCATATCTGGAAGGGCAGTATGATCTCATACTGCCAGGGAGGGGACGTGGGGTAGAGGGTGCAGGAGACACCAGGGGCCATGGAACCTGGAATTCTCAGCAGTCCCACTCCTCACTCTCTTGGCTTAGGGGCGTGGGGCCAGGTTGCAATACCCGGGAGATTGCTGACAAGCTGATTGAGCTCAAGGCAGAGATCGAAGACCTGCAGCAGCGAGAGCAAGAACTTGACCAGCACAAGGTGTGGGTGCAGCAGAGCATCCGGAATGTCACAGAGGACGTGCAGAACAGCTGATATCCTCCTGGTGGTCCCTGGTCTAGAAGAGTGGGAAAGGGCCTCTCTGATCCAGCAGGCTTTGTTCTGTGGCTCCCTGAGCCTATCCCTCTTGGAAATATGATCCTGCATCCTCTTTCTAGGTTTCAGCTTTAGGCTCCCCCTTCAGAGACCTTCCCTTTTCAGTCTTGACTGTGACCCCTCCTCATGTGTAATCCAGCCACCAGAGCTTTCTCTGAGGGTTTGTATGGTAGACTGCTATCAAAGAATTGGGTCTGCTCCATGGTCTGCCATCTGACACTACATGTAGGGCACTGGCCATTCTCCTTAACCCCCTACACCTTAGCCTACGTGACTCATGAAGACATCTGCAGATGCTTTGCTGGTGAGCAGAGCTTGGGTAGGGGAAAATGGGGGTGGGCCTGGGCTGAGCCACAGCTCTTTGCATTGAGCTTTATGGCCAAGGAATTCCAGCTCTTAAGAGGGTGCCTGAGGCCTGTCCAAAGAAGTACCAGGCAGGGTAAGTCCTTGGTTTGAGTGTCACGTTGTTGGAGGCCAACTACACTCAGATGGTGTGTACATCCTGGGATGGATACTTGGGTTTACCCCACCAGCATTGTACTCTGGCTTTGGTTGTTTGGGTATGAAGGAAGCACAAAGGAAAGAGAGAGAAAGAGAACATTCACGTGCACACACTTTTATATGCAGGGGTCAGCAGCTTCCACTTTCAACCTGGTATTAGTTCAGTTGTGTTGTAGATACAGGAGCTGATCCTTCTCCATTCCATCTTGTATCCCCCAGACTTGTTTTGGGAAAGGAACATTGACCTTGGCCAGAATACCTGTTTCTGGGGATTGGCATCATCAATTGAGGAGTGAGTTGTTCATGGCCAGTGATCTCTCACTTAGCAAGTGTATTTGAGGTTGGATTTCCTGGTCACTGAGACAGGACTATTGGGAGACAGAAGTCTTAGCTCTGCCCCAGCTGCTATCGGGATGACAGATGCCCACTGTCCCTTAGAGACTGTGGCCTCCTATCTTGTACCTGGGGGCAAGCATCTCCATTTTGAGCTCAGATTGAGCCCATGGCTCTGAACCATGTCCTTCTTGTTTTAGGAGACACTCTCCTGGCCATCCGGGCCCCATCAGGCACCAGCCTAGAGGTGCCCATCCCAGAGGTGGGTGCTCAGCCTAGCCAGGCCATGTCAGCTGGTTGTGAGGGCGGGTGCTGGCTGTGGAACCTGATAAGACCAGGGTGGGGCAGGTAGGGGGAAGGCTGGGGCTAGGGGTTATCTAAGAGGATGGGCACCCTGAGTGGGAGAGGACACTGGCCCTGACCCAGAGTGAAGCAAGAGCCACGCCTGCTTGCCGTTCTACTTGTCCCCCATCCCCTACTTCCAGGGTCTCAATGGACAGAAGAAATACCAGATTCATCTGAAGAGTGTGAGTGGCCCCATTGAGGTGCTGCTGGTGAACAAGGAGGCTTGGAGTTCACCACCTGTGGCTGTTCCTGTGCCACCACCTGAGGATCTGCTGCAAAACTCATCTTCTGTTTCTACCCCTCCACCTCTGCCCAAGCCTGCCTTAGCCCAGCCTCAGGAGGCCTCACGTCCAAGCAGTCCCCAGCTGACCACCTCTACTCCTGTTCCTGGAAGCACTGAAGTCCCAGGGGTGGCTGGCCCAGCAGCTGAGGTCACAGGTAAGGCACAGGGGGCAGCTGGTGATGAGCTTATCTTCTGGGGCCCCAGAGGCAGTAGTGTTGTGGAGCACCACAGTCAGAATTGGAAGAGACTGTCAGAGTTGGCTTTGCCCTATTCCCTGCCCCAGCTCCATCCTCCTGCTGTGGCCCTTTAAACAGGGAAGCTGTATGTTTGTAAAGGGGCACTTAGTGTTGCAGTTTCTTCCAGATCTGCCAAGACTCATGTACCCTGATACCCCCTCTTGGACCCTTGTCCATGAGCTTTCCTCCTGTAGACCTTGTTCCCTTCATGGATTCATTTGTAGTTTTTGTCTTCTGGGCTGACTGGTAGTGCCTGATTCCTTGGTCTAGGATCCAGGAATACCATGGATATCCTGGCCACAGGTTCTAGTCCAGCCAGCTTCAGTGACCTGCTTTCTGTCCCCTTGTAACTCGGTTTGGGGATATGATTGCAGTGAGTGGCGGCCCTGAAACTGAGAGCAAGGATGGTGGTGAGCTCAGTTCACTCCCCCTGGGCCCAGCTGTGCTAGACACCCGGCCGCTGCAGTCTTCTGCCCTGTTGGACAGCAGCAGCAGTAGCAGCAGCAGCAGCAGCAGCAGCAGCGCTAGCAGTTCATCCGAACCCAACCCGTCTACCTCCTTTGAGCCCATCAAAGTGGACCCCACAGGCGGTGAGTAATTGCCCTGCTAGGTGCAGCAGGAAGAGTGTAGCCTCAGCCCAGTCCTAGGTCAGACACAGAAACTCCTCTGTTAACGTCTGTGTGATACCAGCCCTCTGTCAGCAAGGTCTTCCTGGCTTCCTGACTGTCTCAAGCCCTTCCTTCTTTGCGGTGTCACTGAGTCTCTCACCTCACAGATACTTGATCCTCCTATGTTCCATCACATCTTTCTTGTCTCCTCTATTTCTAGATTCTTTGAAAGAGTAATCCCTACTCCTGTCCATCTAAGTCTCCTAGTCACCCTCAGATTGAAGTTGGTAGGACCCTGCAGCAGTGCTATTGTTGATGAGGTGCTGAATCCAACAGGTCCCTAAGAGGCTTGGATCTGGTGCTCTTTTGCTCTCTGCTGATACTTGTTCCTTTTTGGGGTTGAATGATGCAGACCTTGCTCTTCTACCTCACTTGCCTTTTTTTTTGTCTTTTTCCTTTTTTAATCGGTCCCGGGGATTGAATTCACAATTGCCTGCTTGCAGGGCAGGCGCTTATGCCGCTGAGCTAAATCTCCAGCCCCACCTCACTTGCTTTTTCCCCCATCTCTTCCTGACGCTTGCTTAAACATTAGCTCTTTATAGGGTTCGGTCTCATTTCACACCTGGAAAAATTCCAGCTCGGGAGAGTCAAATCTCCAGTCTGTCTAGATCTGTTGCCTAATCTCCATACCTCCATCTCCACTGCTGTGGTCTTCATCTTCAGTGAGTGCCTCGTTCCTACATGTCCTAAATGAACCCTTTTCAATCTGCAATTTGCTTTTCCATTTCTGTGGGCACTCCATTGGTCCTAGTCATCCACCCAGGCTTGACACTTGGATGTTACCCCAGTTCTCTCTCCTATTACCTATCCACATTGGCTAAATGAGGTCTAGCTGAGACATCTCTTACTGTCTTGTATCTTCAACACTTAGAATGACCACTGGCCACCTAGATTCTAGACTTCTCAGCATCCTCTTTACTTTTACTGAAAGAATACTCTTTCTGAAAGGTAACCCTGACTATGGCATGTCTCTGTTTAAAAAAGTGCCTTCAGAGCGAGGTGTAGTAGTACACACCTTTAATCCCAGCGCTGCAAAGGCTGAGGCAGGAGGATTAGAAGTTTCAGCACAGGGGCTGGGGATTTAGCTCAGCGGCGCAAGCGCCTGCCTTGCAAGCAGGCAGTCATGAGTTCAATTCCCGGTACCGATAAAAAAGAAAAAGACAAAAAAAAAGTTTCAGCACAGCTTGGGCAATTTAGTGAGACACTGTGTCAAAAAGAAAAAATTTTTTTTGGTACCAGGAATTAAACTTGTGACCTTGCCCTTGCCAGGCAGGCGCTATGCCTCTGGAGTATATTCTTGGCCTTCAAAAATTTGTTCAAGGGCTGGAAATGTAAATTAGTGTGAAGCCTCTGGGTTCAATCCAGAGTGCTGCCCTGCCTCAAAAAGAAACGTGCTTTCATAGCTGGAAAATAGGTCAGTGGTAGAGTGTGTACTTGTGCATGTGTAAAGCCCTGGTTTCAATCCTTAGCACACACGTGCATTCAGTGGCTCCCTAAAGTCTGTTAGGAAAAAAAAATCAGTTCTAAGTTTGGCACATGATGTCACTTATGGTCCTTTTCAGTTTCATTTTCTTCCTATATGTGCTCTCATGATCAAAGACTTATAGTGGCATCACCCTACCAAAGTGTATGCCTTTATCTCTGCCAAGTTAGTTGGTCCAGGATATGGTCTCAGCCTGGTACGTAGCAGGTGCTTGGCAAAGGTGAGAGCAGGTGGCGCATGTTCCATCAGACAGGGCACACAGCTTGGTGAGGAATGGGAGTCTGTTGACCTGCTGCAGTGCCTCTGACATAGAGAGGCTGCACCCATCACCTGTGATGGGTCTTTTGTACACTGGACTCAGCACTGAGTCATTCAGGTATAGCAGAGGAGACCAACAGCCCACAGTTAGGCTTCAGGCAAGGAGTATATTTCCTTAGCTGTGTGGAGGCCCCGGGGATGAATGGTATGGCATCTGAGGCAGTGAGGGATCTTATGGGACCAGGCTGAACCTCTGCCTTGAGTACAGCTTTCTTGTCTTTCAGTTCTTGAACTCCCCAAAGAGCTGTCAGAAATCTTTGACCCTACACGAGGTAGGCCATGTACCACCTTGGGGCCAGGGATAAGGGACATGGCTCATTGAGTGCTATAGCTGGGGGTTTTGCCCTTCTGAGGACCTTATTGTGCTTGGCACCAGGGCAAAGGGTAAAGCAGAATGGGAACCCCTTTCATGGACTTTTTGGGAGACCAGATATAACTGTTCTTTCCATTCTCAGAGTGCATGAGCTCAGAGCTGCTGGAGGAGCTGATGTCCTCAGAAGGTGAGAGCCCAGAGAGAGGGGGAGGTTGGTTGTGGCCAGGGGGTTGGATGGCTGCTGGATGGGGTCTTGGCTCAGGCCCTCAGTCTAGTGCTCTTTGCAGTGTTTGCTCCCCTCCTCCGCCTTTCTCCTCCCCCTGGAGACCACGATTACATCTACAATCTGGACGAGAGTGAAGGTGTCTGTGATCTCTTTGACGTGCCTGTTCTCAACCTCTGACTGATAAGGACATGCTGTGCGTGGCCTGGACCCAGACTGAGCTGGGGATGCCTCCCACCTACTCCTGCATAATTTGAGAGCCACAGACTCCTGGCTTCCCCGGCCTTCCCGCTCTGTACAGTTCTGGCTACACCTCCCACTGCTGCCCTGGCACTGGCACTGTGCTAGCAGAGTGGGGAAAGGGGCTTAGTCCTTTCCACCATGGAGCCAAAGTGTTTGCCTCTCCTTTTCTGGAACCTTCCCCAGCCAGCTGCCACTCAGTGGCATAGACTAGCCAACACCCGCATAGGACAGCTTGTCTAGCCCGTTGCCCTGTTCCTGCAGCCCCCATCCCCACCCCCACCCCCGGGAAGCTTAGGGTAGAGCTGGGCACTCTCCAGCTACCAAGCTAGCTAGCTTCTTTCCTACTTGCTCACCCTACAGCTTCCCCTGGACTTTCCACTTGCCCCCACCCCCACTTTGCCCCTTCTGCTGAGCCCTGAATCCTGGCAACCTACAGGTGGCCTGGGGCAGGGGTGTTAAAGTGGAAATGAGATCTCTAGGAATCTGGACAGGTGGGTCCCTGAGGGTAGGCCCAACCTCCCGATGCTGTCTTATTTCCATTTATTCATTTACTCATATTTAGAGCCATTTACAAAGATTTAGAAAGATTTACAGTAACTGAATGAATTCCTATATAAAGATTATTTTTATACTTTTTGCAGCAAAAGAAAATTGTAATATTTGTACAGTATCCGATTGAATAAAGACCATGCCTAAGGCTATCTCTGATCTGGTTCTTTGGGGCCTCTCCTGGGATAGTGCTGGATTGGTGGCGGGACTGGGTGGGTCTCCTTGCTGGAATGGGAGGTGGGGCAACCTGCCCTCCCTGCCCCCACCTGCTGCACCTTGGCATGGGGCGGGGCTTCTGGTGGGGCGGAGCAGGACAGGCGCCATCCCACTCTCCAGCTCCCAAGACTCCAACCCGGAACTAACCTTGGCTCCCTGGGAAGGCGGCGGCGTCTGGCCACGAGAGGCAACTTCTGGCATTAACTGCGAGGCACCAAGACCAGGTCACAGAGACGCCTTGTCTCTAGAGGCCCCTGAATAGGTGCTCCCTGGGCAGGACGTGGTGCGGCTCCTGGAAAGCGCAGGCACTCACGGCCATCTGGAGCATGGCGCCCCCGCGGAACGTGGTGAAGATTGCTGTCCAGATGCGTGACGCCATCCCGCAGCTCATCCAGTTGGACCAGGTCACTCGGCCTGTCCGGCCCCCGTGCGTCCCGCTGCCCACTTCTAGGTCTTTCCCTTCCCTCTCAGGGCAGCCAACTCTACCCCTCCCTCGGGTTCCCCCATCCAAATAGAATCCCAGTCCCGCTCTATAAATGACAGCTCCATTTGCAGGCAAAGCCCCTGGCCGCTGTGTTGAAGGAGGTGTGCGACGCGTGAGTGTGGAGGACTGGGCCGGGGTGGGGGAGGGGCGGGCGCCGAGGTGCCCCTGGCAGCCTCCCTGAGCTCCGCGCCCTACAGGTGGAGCCTGACTCACTCCCAGCGCTATGCCCTGCAGTTTGCTGACGGGCACAAGAGATATATCACCGAGAATGTGAGTCCCCTCCCCCGCCCCACAGGCCTCCCTATGGATCCTCCGCCCCCCGCCCAGATTCCAAAGACTCATCCTCCTCTTACCCAAATGTGAACTTTCTTTTTCTTGACCCCCAGACCCTCAAGACTATCCAGCTGGCCATTCCTTCTAAGCGCTCATTGACTTGGTTCCCCTTTATCCTCTTTCTTCCAGAACCGTGGGGAGATCAAGAATGGCAGTATCCTGTGTCTCAGCACTGCCCCAGTAATGTCCCTCTTGGCCCCGCCCTTCTTCTGACTGCCCCTCCGCGGTGCCCCTTTCAGTCTGTGGGCCCCCAGCCCCAGGTCTGCAGGCCCTGGCACCAGGCCAGCAGGGCGCCACCTAGTGGACATCTACCCCCTTTCTGTCCAGCCTCCTCATTTCAGTTCCATTCCCACCCTGGCCAGGACCTTGAAGCTGAGCGGCTGTTGGGTGGGCTGCAGAGTGCAAGTCATGAAGGTCGCCGGGAAGCCCTGAAGCATCTCGTCCTGTTGGCCTCAGACATGACTTTTGCCCAGGAGGTCATCAGCCGTGATGGGCTTCAGAGACTGGGCACAATCATTGAGGACGGGGACGAGTGAGCACAGGGGTGTAGTGGACTAGGGGGGACATGATGGGGCTTGGGATCCTGGTCTGGTCCTGCTCAGCCCAGATGTCTCCCCCAATCCCCAGCCTAGGGGAGGTGCTCGCCCTTGGGCTGAGGGCCTTCTTGGAGCTCATGGAGCATGGCGTGGTATCCTGGGAGACACTCAGCATCCCCTTTGTCAGGAAGGTGGGTGGACTTTTCTAAGGGCAGTGGATGGGGGCAGTAGGGCAGCCAGGATCTGACTGTCCATGCTGGCAAGGTGGGGGCAACCCTCCTACCTCTGTCACAGGTGGTGTGCTATGTGAACATGAACCTGATGGATGCCTCTGTGCAGCCTCTGGCCCTCCGGCTGCTGGAGAGTGTGACTTTAAGCAGCCCTGCCCTAGGCCAGCTGGTCAAGAGTGAAGTGCCACTGGATAGGCTGCTGGTGCATCTGCAGGTGTAAGGCTCTGGGCTGGGGTATAGACCAGGGAGCAGGGATGGACCCTGGATGTTCAGTTGAACCCTGCCCACTTCTTTGCATAGGATGAACCAGCAGCTACAAACCAAGGCTATGGCATTACTGACAGCCTTGCTGCAGGGGGCCAGCCATGCTGAACGTAAGGTGAGTGTTCACTCAGTGCCTGGATGGGGAGATGGCAGCTGATGGACATTCTGCTCCACTTGGAGCTAAATCACCTAAGTTCCCTTCCCATCTACCTCAGCAAATGCTGGATTACCTATGGCAAAGGAACCTTCGTCAGTTCATCTACAAGGTAGGAAGGATTGGCCCAGGGAAACCCTACCCATGGTTCCTCTCCCAGCAAGCCCACAGCCCACCTGTCTTCCAGAATATCATCCATAGTGCAGCACCACTGGGTGATGAGATGGCCCATCATCTGTATGTGCTGCAGGCCCTTACACTGGGGCTTTTGGAGCCACGTATGCGGACACCAATTGACCCCTACAGCCAGGTATGTCTTTGGCGAGGACACAGGCAGATGGTGGCTGGGACTTGGCTTTGAATCTGTGTGAGGGACTGGGGTTTGAACTCAGCTCTTCACACATGGTAGGCCAATGCTTCACCACTGAGCTCCAACCCCATCTAGAATATATGATCCCGATATCCTGACACTCTCCCTTACCAACAATGACCCCAGGAACAGCGAGACCAGCTCCAAGCCCTACGCCAGGCTGCATTTGAGTCAGAAGGAGAGTCCTTGGGCACTGGAATGAGTGCTGACCGTCGCCGTTCCCTCTGTGCTCGAGAGTTCCGCAAACTGGGCTTCTCTGTGAGTGACCCCTACCAACATCTCCACCCCAACCTCCCTCAGGCTGTGGATCTAGGAGCTGCAGTCCTGAGCTGCGTGTGCTCCTATCTCCCCACCTGCAGAACAGCAACCCAGCACAGGACCTGGAGCGTGTGCCCCCCGGCCTGCTGGCCCTTGACAACATGCTCTTCTTCTCCAGACAAGCGCCCAGTGCATACAGCCGGGTCAGTGGCAAGTTGGGAAGGAAAGACAGCAACAGCCTGCCTGGGCAGGGTCCCCAGAGGCTTAGCTGAGACTGCCCCATTCTCTGCTCCTGCTATCCTAGTTTGTATTAGAGAACAGCAGTCGGGAAGACAAGCATGAGTGCCCCTTTGCCCGGAGCAGCATCCAGCTGACTTTACTCTTGTGTGAGCTGCTCCATGTTGGGGAACCTTGTGAGTAGGGCTGGGCACAGTGTGTCCAGGGACAGGGGACAGAAGGGCAGAGAGGGCCAGGGGCTTTACACGCTTTCTCCCTGAGCCACTCCTGCCCCCCCACTCCAGGCTCTGAGACAGCCCAGGACTTCTCACCCATGTTCTTCAGCCAAGACCAGAGCTTCCATGAGCTCTTCTGTGTGGCCATCCAGCTGTTGAATAAGACCTGGAAGGAGATGCGGGCCACACAGGAGGATTTTGACAAGGTGAGCGGGATGAGAGCTGGGAAGCCAAGGCAGAGGACTGTTCGGGCAGGGGTCTGGAGCTTGGGCCCTGCACTGAGCTTGAGGTGGCCTCAGGTCATGCAGGTGGTACGGGAGCAGCTGGCCCGAACCCTGGCCCTGAAGCCCACCTCCCTGGAGCTGTTCCGTACCAAGGTGAATGCACTTACCTATGCTGAGGTGCTTCGGCTGCGGCAGACAGAGCGGCTACACCAGGAAGGCACACTGGCTCCTCCCATATTGTGAGTTGCTGGGATAGAGCCGCAGTCCTAGCTTATACCTTCCCAAGTGTCCTGTAGGCCATGTCCCAGGGCCTTCCTGATTAGTGACCCCCCACCTCCCATCCAGGGAGCTGCGGGAGAAGCTAAAGCCAGAGCTCCTGGGCCTAATCCGCCAACAGCGTTTGCTCCGCCTCAGTGAAGGGACACTTTTCCACAAGATCAGCAGCCGAAGACGCCAGGGTCTCTGAGGGGACCAAGGAGGGGTAGGTCATGGCTGGATTGGGGTCCAGGCCCTTTTCATCACGCCTACCCTCTTCCCCATTCTCCACGCAGACAAGCTGTGGTTCTGCTGCTTGTCCCCCAACCACAAGGTGCTTCAGTATGGTGATGTAGAGGAAGGCACTGGCGCACCCACCCCAGAGAACTTGCCTGAGCAGCGTAAGAATGGCAGAGCCACTCTCCCCAGATACCCCATGCCCTGGGGCTGCCTAGGGTCCCAGTGGTCAGCCCAGTCTTCTTCCTGCAGTCCCTGTGGCCGACATCAGGGCACTCCTGACGGGGAAGGACTGCCCCCATGTCCGGGAGAAGGGCTCTGGGAAGCAGAACAAGGTGAGTGCTGTGGAGCAGGGGCTCCTTCCTGCCTGCCCCGTTCGCTGCTAAATGTGTCTGCTGATTGCTTCCCTAGGACCTCTATGAGTTGGCTTTCTCCATCAGCTATGACCGTGGTGAGGAAGAGGCATACCTCAACTTCATTGCCCCCTCCAAACGAGATGTGAGTATCAGGGCCAGGCTGAGTTGGGCTGATGGATGAGGGCACAGATGAGCAGGCCCTCATGACTTGGCCCCATCTGTCCCCAGTTCCACCTATGGACAGATGGGCTGAGTGCCCTGCTGGGTAGCCCCATGGGCAGCGAGCAGACCCGGCTGGATCTAGAGCAGCTGCTGACCATGGAGACCAAGCTGCAGCTGTTGGACCTGGAAAATGTGCCCATCCCTGACCAGCCACCACCTGTGCCCCCACCACCCACCAACTTCAACTTCTGCTATGATTGCACCATTGCTGAACCTTGACTGTGAGGTTAGCCAAGGTTAACTACAGCTGCTGCTGCTGCTGCTACAGTTACAACAGCTGCAAAAGGTGGAAGATAGAGAAGCACAGGCACCCTGAATAGCAAAGGATGCAGCAGAAATAAAGTCTGCTTGGCTCTTTAGGTACTGTGTCAAGCCAGCTCTGAACCTTGTGGGCCAATCCTGTGACAGACAGGGAAAGGCATCCCTTTCTGTCTTCAAACTTAGCTAGTGAATGAAATAAGACATCAGTGGGACCACAGACTTGACAGCTAATTTGGGGCACTGGTGTTCTGAGGCAAGTGGGGCCAGGCGGGAACTATTGCCCTACTGTCTGAGAGGAGTCTTCTGCCTTCTTCAGTTCTGGGCCTGCAGAGAGAGATGGTCTATGGTCTGTGGGCACTAGATCAGGGAGAAGTAGGGTAGGAGGAAATACCCAAATTGATGTCTTCCTGGCTGGCACTGATAGTCTGGAAGCCATGCTTTCAGAAGGCTTCTGATAATCTGATTTTAGTCCCTAACCCTGCTTGACAATGTCCTGTGTCCTCTGTGGGACTTGTAACTTCTGGAGAAAGGCGTGAAGAGAGAGATGTGAAGCTGGGCCTGCTTTCTGCTGAAGGGCAAGTTTTAGATTCCCAAGGGCATCCTCAGTCTGGTGGGAACATCTGGGGTATGTCAACAAGCGGGAATTTTGTGCAGGAAGCCCTGTGTTCAGATTAAAACCCAAATCAAGAGTGTGCATGAGTTGGGAGCTAGATATAGCCAGACTGCCTGAGGACAGAAGTGCCAAGGGCTGTTTGGCTCAGCTAGAAGTCAAGCTGTGACCACAGATTCAGGGGCAAAAATGATCACACCATCCCAGAGGACTCACAGGGAGGTTCCAAGCTGCCTCCACCCTGACTTCCTTCTCCATGCCACTCACACTTCCCAGTTCCTCTGAAACTATGGTTTCACAGCGTTAACCATCAGTCTTTGATGAAATGACCAACTGTTTTAGAGAATGTGCTGGGGTAGCACTTGCCTGTCATCCCTCAGCTACACTTCTGATCCTCAGGCAACCGGTTCCAAGACTTCCCACCACACTTAGAACTGTCTGCTGTTGAGTTCAAGGTAGAAATCAAGAGCAGGGATTCCAAAACCTGTTAAATCTGACAGTACTGTCGGTTCTTCCTCCTCAGTGTCTAGTCCCTTGCCCATGCCAATCTTTAGTCTTGTTCCTCCAATCATCTCAATACTGACTGCTACAGCTGCTTTCCCAAACATAACTTGGATATGATTTCACACACACACACACACACACACACACACACACACACTCTCTCTCTCTCTCTCTCTCTCTCTCTCTCTCTCTCTCTCTCTCTCTCTCTCTCTGTATTCAGTGTGTTCCGAAGTCCTTGGGTACAGTGCAGGTTACCATGATTGAGCACTATGTTGAGCTGGATGGTTTGAATACGTTTTGTGACATAGCCTTGCCAGCTGAGATCCTGTGTCCAAGGTTTGGTTCTTGATCCACGCTGACATCCTCTCTACCCGCCTTCAAGTGCCAGCTCTGGCCGCCCATGTGCACATCCATACCTCTTGCTGCCTGGATTGCTCCCCTTCCCTCCCTTATGCCTGTTTTTCACTGCCTTGATTCCTTCCTTGACCCTGTAGGTCAAGTTCACTGATGTCCTGGCCCCAGATACTTATTTGTACACTGTACATCCTGTGCATTGGACTGTCTGTTGACTTATTTGCCTCCCCAGAACCCAGGAGAGCTTTTGTATCCCTAAATCCCCATGTGAAGCACAGTGCTTACCTATGGGTACCTAAGAGTACCAGCTCACTGCTCCTAGAATTGATGAGCTGATAAATGGATAGTGTGGGAATACATGGAAGACTAGCTGGACAGACTTTGTCAGAGCTGCTTTTGAGAACTCACTCAACTTAGGGGGTTGAGCTGCATGACCTCTAATGACCCTCCCACCCAGTAAAGCTGTGTCCTATTGCTTCCCCTATCCCTTGTCCATTTCAAGACATCCTCACTGAATGAAGCATCATCAGTCAGTTCCTCTGGGGTCTGGCTTGAGACAAAGACCTTTGCATGTCAGGGTGTTATGCAGGGAACGGCCTTGGAGCCTGCTACCATGTGGGGAAGAAGCTGGCACCTGGTTGAGCTAGGCCAGTGTGGAACAGCCCTGAGAACAGTATGGGGGCCCCTGTGGGGAGTATTGGGTCAGTTGAGGTGGGGAGGTGAGGGGGCTGAAGGGAACTTTAGACAAAAGACAAGGTCTGGAAATTTTAATCTAGTTTGGGTTTACAGTAAAATTAATGTGGCTGTTAAAGCTTGGTGCTTGCTGGAACTGGAAGAATGCCCCAAGAGAACAGTTGGAGCACAGAAGGAACTTGTGGCAGCGATGTGTAGCTGGCATTTCCAGGGGTCTGTGGTAGTGACAGGTAGCTGGATAGGCTACTGCCCAGCTGTGGGCAGGAAATCCCCTGGCTGCCTTGGGTTGGTCCCGCCCCCATTCCTAGACAAGGAGTCTATAGCGGAGGGAGGCAAGAGGCACTGGAGCAAACCCCAGGTCCGGAACTCTGCTGCGGTTATGGGGTGAAGGGGGAGCTGCAGGGCTGGATACTGACCTGGCCTCAGAGTGTCAGTGTCAGGTCAGCCCCTCCCACGAAGCGAGACTGGACACATGTCACCTGAGGCAGCTGGGCTTGGAAGCGCCTGACAGCCACCACATTGATACCAGAACACATGGCCACATCCAGTACTCGGAGCTGCTTGCATGCCTGCCTAATGGTGTTCAGCGTTCTGCAGGGAGACCACTAACTGAGTGCCTGACCCACTCTGGGGCCCCAACCCAGCACCGCACTGTGGCTCCATCTGCTGTGCGTCATCAGACATACTTACTGTTCTGTGAGCTGACTGCAGCTGGATAGGTCAAGGTGCTGTAACCTGGGCCAGGACACAGCCGCCTGGGCCCAGCCCTCATCACTGAGGTGGGCGCAGTGACTCAGGGACAAGCGCTCCAGGCTAGGGCAGCCCCTGGCCACAGCCACCAAACCGATGTCTGTGAGCGCTGTCAGCAGGCTCAGTGACAGTTGCCTCAGCTGGGGGAATTGGAGCACCTGCAGGGGTGGGGGTGGAGCCAGTCAATGGAATACCACACTGGACCCAGAACATAAAGCCCCTCTAAGTTCCCTTCCCCATTCAGGGGAGTGACCAGAAGCCAGTAAGAAAGGAATGTTTTTCCAAGTAAAAAGTGGGTTGGACCAATCCCCAGGCTCCAGCCCCAGGACCCTTATCCTATCCACACCTTGGCCAGACTAGCATCAGTCAGCTTGCTGCAGGCTGTGAGGTCCAATTCCTGAAGGTCCTGCAGCATGAGCAGGGAGGGGCCCTGCAGCTTGAGAAAGGGGTTCTCAGGCTCTGAAGCCTGATTCTGCAGCTCTGGGTGCAGCTGTGGGAAGAAACCGCTTCTCAGTCCTTCCTGAATTTGCCTTTAAATATTAGTACAGAGAGACTCAAGAAGCAGAAAGGCAGGATTGGCCAAGGGCTGCCCCACCCTCCCCAACTTCCAGGGTCCTCACCTGAGGACCACATGCAGGTTCCTCAGATGGTTCCTGTAGCCCCAAAAGTCCCCAGTCTTGGAGCTCCTTGCACCAGGCCAGGCGCAGGACTGAGAGGTGGGTGAGGTAGGTGCAGATAGCCTGTATGGTCCGGTTGGTGAGAGCCATGCAGGAAGATAAGTCTAGCACCCTGAGGCTCAGACTCAGTGCTGAGATGACAGAGAGCACTGAGGCATCCTAGGAGGGAGGTGGAGAAGAGAGGTTGGAGCAGCAGCTTGTGCCTGTGCTATGAGGCTTGGCAGGAGTCACTAGCAAGGGGTCTGTCCAGGGTTTCTGTCCCAAGGCAACAGGGAGCTGCCAGAGAGCCCAGGTCCTATGCAAGTTATGAAAGTGTAGAGTGGACAGGATGAGCTGTGGGGGTGGGATGCCTGGAGGAACTGGCTAAAGAACAAAGGCCTATGCTATGGTTGGGGCAGGAAGAATACAAATGGAAATTTCTCAAGCAGCTAGTTGCCTGCCTGCTCCACAGTTTAGTGGGCCAGAGGTGAACAGCCAACCCTCACTGAGCCAATGACATGCACTCCCAACTGTGAGGTGCGGAGGGGCGGGAGTAGGGGGTGGTGAGAGCCGCCACCTGCTAGGAGAAGTCTGGTGGGGGGTAGCAGGAGCTAAGGGCACAGCAGAGGAAGCTGGTTTTAGAAGATGTAGACGGAGCTGTAGAGGAACAGAAACATGGGGCCTGGAGAGCAGCTAAGAGACTTTGCTGCCTGCAGAAGATGGAATGGGCAGATAAGAGATGATGCAAAACACAAGGTTGACGTTTTAAACTCGGTGTGTCCTCGACACAGTGATAGATTGAAGGAATAATCAAATAAAGAATGACTGACGTTTTTAGACAGAGATGCTGTCCAGCAAGACAGTTGCACCCTACAAAGGCTTGGCTTCAGCCAGGAAGTGGCCCTGGTGCTCCCATGTCACATTACCTCCCATAGGCTCTATCTGAATACCCTCTTTGGTGTTCCTTCCCTGCCATTCTTTCCTGTCACCCCCTTCTCCAGCCTTCCTGCATCAGAACACTTGTCCTCAGTGTCCATGCCCAGACTGCAGCAGTCACTTGGCAGTGAGGTATTGGGCCACCTCACAAGCCAGGCCACCCTTGCTGTCTTGGACCTCTGTCTGCTAAGGCCCACAGTGGGGGCCCTGGGGCGGTGTACCAGCACCATCCTCTGTCTAAGGTGCTGTCTTCTTGCAGACTGTGGTTCGAGTTCAGCTGTAACTAGTCCTCCCTGGATGCAAACACTGGGAGTATCTCCCTGCAGCCCAGCTTCCCCAACCTCTAACCTGACAGAAAGGAAGAGGGTGCTGCGCTCACCTTCAATGAAGAACAGTAGGCCAGCCTGAGGGTGGTCAGTGGAGGTGGTGCTCCACGCACTGAATCCAGGGCCTGGGCCAGTCCCTGCCCACTCACCAGGCAGCACTCAACCATGTCCAGGCTCCGCAACTCCTGCAGGCCCCCCAAGGCTCTGCACCCTGCATCTGTCAGCCGCTGCAGCTTCCCCAGATTCAGGCGCTGCAGGTGCCGCAGGCCCCGGCTCACAGCCAAGAGTGCCCCATCAGTCAGTTCTGAGCAGCCACTGAGGTCCAGAGAAGTAAGTCCTGGTTGTTGGTGGCACAGGGTGACCACAGCCTCTGTGGAGAGGTCTCGACAGCTGTGCAAGTTCAGCTCCTGCAGCTGTAGCCTAGCCACCTGACCCAGAGCCTTCAGGGCCTCAGGTGGCAGGCCAGTGCCACTCAGGTCCAGGGCACGCAGTCTTCCTACTCGCTGTTTTATAAACTGGAGCACATTGTGGAAAGAGAGTTTGGAGAAATAGGAGTCCTGAGGGCTGACAGGGTCCTGAGCTGCACCTAGCTGGAAGGTGAGGTGGCAGTAGGCCAAGGAGAGGCACTCCAAATTGGGGACACAGCTGCTGAGCTGGTTGAAGCTGAGGTCACTTAAGTCTCGTAGGCCAGCAAGGTTGAGCTCACAGAGGCCACTTAATGCCTGCCGGACATTCTCTGCTGTCTCAGGCTGAGCCAACAGCATGCCAGATGTGAAGAGGCTATTACAGCCACTGAGGTCAAGGGTGCGCAGGGCTGGGCATTCTAGGATCAGAGCCACAAAGGATTCCTCTGTGGGGCTGCCCCCACCCAGGCACAAGTTCTGGAGGTGTGGGCCTAGGTGGTAGGCAACAGATTGTAGAACCTGCTGTGAGGTATGGGAGCCATCCAAGTTGGTCAGGCTAATGCTGGAGATGCCCCTGAGGCCCAAGCTCTTGATGGCTGGGAGGGAGGCAGAGGACACTGGGATGTTGTATCGAACATTTGCCTGAGGGAAGCAGCAAGCCTGGAGTCAGGTTAGGAAGGGCCCTTCTGTGATGAGGGCCCACTGTGATGTCTTGGGTGGTTAAGGGGGATTCAGGTAAGAAGTGGGGCTAGGGCTGACTGTGGTGGCAGACACCTATAATCTCAGCACTTGGGAGGCTACCCCAGGCTGTATAGAGAGCTCAAGGACAGCCTGAACTACAAAGCAAGACCTTGTCTCCAAAAAAAAAAAAATGTGGGGCTGGGGATTTAGCTCAGCGGCATAAGCGCCTGCCTTGCAAGCGGACAGTCATGAGTTCGATCCCCGGTACCGATAAAAAGGAAAAAGACAAAAAAAAAAAAAAAAAAAAAGAAATTATCAACCAAAAAAAAAAAAAAAAATGTGGAATCCAGGAAGATAGGTCAATCTCGGGTCTGAAGGGAAATGACTGTCAGGGGCAGGCAGGAAGCTCAGTGTAGGACAGGCCTGGATGCTTCAGGAGGGGCAGGGATAGAGTGGGGAGTTAGCATGGTAAGCACAGGAGAACTACGATGTGACCTGAAAGGAGGCCCAGTGCAACCTCCCAAAGGTGGAAGGACAAAGTATACTGCATGCAACCTTTGAGTCTCAAAAGGAAGACCTGAGATCTATAGACCTGGATCCTCCTACTCCAGGAATTTGGCCTTGGCTAAGCACCCAGCACTCTCCACTTTCTAGAGAACATATAAATAGTCCTAAGAACAACAGGAAGTTGGAAGAAGTGAAGCATGTGCCACTCATCACAACTCTCTGTGACCCAGATACCAGATGTCCCATGCACATGAATGTTTGCAAAAATGGACTTTATATGTAATGATGTGTGTGTGTGTGTGTGTGTGTGTGTGTGTGTGTGTGTGTGTGAAATACCTACAGGATTCCCTGGAATTAAGCCCTGAGGATTCCTCTAGCACATCTCTGGAGGGGACATCCGTCTGCCCAGATAAGGAAGGATGGACCAGATGCAAAAAACAAGTCTTGGAGGTGCCAAGATAATTTAACAGGCCCTGATGTACAGGGTCAAGGAGCAAGAATGGGGGTGGTGCATGGTTAGAATGGGGTGGGACCCTGGAGGGAAGCTCAAGGCACAAATTATGGGAATAAGCTGGCTTGTGAAAGAGTCTGCTGAGTCCCCGGGCAAAGAGAGGTAGAACTTTCCCAGATCTTGTGACAGGGGAAGCCCAGAGGAAGTCACTTTGTGCAGAATAAGTTTTTGGGGAAAGGAAGAGAGGGCCTGGATTCTAAAATCCTAGCCCTGTTTCCCAACCTCTTGCTCAGGTTGCAGACAATTGGTACTCAAACAAGGTTCTGTTTTAGGATCATTGTGGTCCTGTTGCAGGAAAGCAAATTCCCCCAAATACCACCTTGTTGGTAACTCCAAAACAAGTCATTGTTCCTTGTTTACATCCCACAGAACAGCACCAAGAAGGAATGAGAAGAGTAGAAGTGATAGATGAAATGGGCTTCTGCAATGTCTTATCAACAGGATTCTCCCAGGAAGCATGGAACCCATTCTTAGGTGTGGATTCTGTGCTAGATAGAAGGGGCTATCCATGGTTGTCATGGTGGGGAGTGTACATAACAGATGGACCCGGCTTGTGATCTCTGTCACACTAATCAGCCATCAGCCAGATTTCCCTTCTAGAGCCCACTTGGATTATGGTCCTTGCCAGTGAGAGGAGCATTCACAATAGATTCCCTCATGAGGGGCTGTGGCCCCAAGAGCCTGGTCCCTGCCTCAGATTTAAGGATAGCTCGAGAAGATCCCAGTGTGGGATGGGGCTGGGAGAGAGAGGGAAAGATCAGAGGACAGGTTGTGAAAAGGAAGGAAAAAGCATGTCTCTAGTCACTGCCAAGCCCTGCATAGCAGATGAATCAGTCTCCTAGTAAGCAACCGAGGGGTACAGTGCTTAGAGCAGCTTGGTTGCCCATGCTGTGCCCACCCCTACCAGTTATATGTGCCTGAGGAACCCAAGAGCCCTGCGGGCTCCAGTTTTGGTAGGGACACTTGCAGGTACTCAATTTCTTTCCCTTCCTCAAAGCCTAAGCAGCCAGGAGTGTTTTTCCCTCCCTATGAATAAGGTTGACAAATAGCCAAAGAAAGGCACTGGCAGTCACCAAGGGGCTAAGCCAGGGCAGCAAAAAGTCATAGAATAAATAGGTAGGGCTGGCCTGAGGGTCATCTGAGAGAGAGGAAGCTTGAGACCACTTCTGGGCCCCCATGATTTTTTTTTTTTTTTTTTTTTTGGTGGGGAGAGAGCAGCCTCTAAACCAGACCTTGGACCTTTTAGAACTTCTAAAGATACAAAAGCCCACTGTGGTTTGCCACCACTATTCGAAGCCATCATTCAGTGGCTTACCCTGCCCCTGAGGTCAGCTGGACATATACCACATGTACGGTCCTAGGAAGAGCTCTTTAAGAATATTCATCTCAGAGCTTGGGATTTAGCTCAGCGGCATAAGTGCCTGCCTGGCAAGTGTGAGGTCATGAGTTCGATCCCCAGTACAAACAAAACAAAACACCCCAAACCAATATTCATTTCTCTGGGTGCACACCAGAAGGCACAAGCAGGGATCCTGGGTTGTAGGCTTTGGTCCTTCCCAGACCTTAAGAAGATACTTCTAGAGGTCCAAGAGAGGACTGCAAGGGCACTACTCCAGCTTCCACTGCCCCATGCACAGAGGAACCATCTACCCTTGGTGTCCTTTTCCCATGTTTGTATCTTAGAAGCAACTAAAAAATCATTTGGGAGATGCCCCAAACCTTCTAAAAGTGATACAAATCCCTTGAGTGTGGGAGCACAGGTTTTTGTGGTATCTAATGAAGCTTTGCCCTGGGACAGCAGGCCTGTGCACAGGCTTAGAGATGCCACCTGATAGGGAAAATGCCTTCCTTTTCTCACTACAGGACTCCAAAGCTAACACACATGCTCTTCTCTAGAAGACCAAGGGGGAATGTAGGCCTGGTGCTCAGGGGCATTGGTGACTGGAGAGGAGCTACATCCCTCAGGCAGGAGACAGCAGCGGAGAATAGAACCTGAGCTGTGTTTTGCTCTTGATCCACAGTGACCAATCCAAGGACAGACAACAGGGCTCCCCAGGGCACTGTGCAGAGCCTGAGTACCTTGGGGCACCACATTTACTTGCATCCTTATTTGAGACAAACGGATCCAATGAACTGCAGAGGCAGGTCAGGGGAATAAGAAATCATCAGGTCCAGCATTTTAGGCTGTGCCTCTGAGATATAGCCCATTGCTAGCTTTGAGGGGTCAATGTCTTCCACAGCATCAGTGACTGGAACACTGCTTCCTGCCCACACCTGGGAGCTGGTTGCTGCCCACAGCATTCTCCATGTGCTCTCTGGGATATGGTGGTGTTGAGGTATGCAAGGGTCCTAGGTGCCCACAAGCATGTGGCTCGGCTGCCAATACTCTATCTGGAGCTTCTGAGTAGCTGGAGAAACTCAGGTCTATATTGGTGGACTCGCCTCCTTCTCCCTCTCTCCTTGTTTCTCCTCTGCCTCACTTGTGCTCCGGGGCCTGGCTCTCCACTGTGCCTCTCCTATCTCCTCCTTTGTTGCCCTCCGGGAGGCTTTTCACCTCCTCTGCCTTTCTTGAGGGTTCGCTGTCCTGCCTTCATCATGCTGCTGTGCCCCCCCGCCCCCCTGCATAGCAAGGGATGATGAGACCAGATGCCTCCTTGGAGTTCGTGCTGGGGACACAGAATGCAGCCGAGGAAGCAGTCTCCCTTCTTGTCCACATTGCCAGCATGGGCCTCCGCCATCCAGCCTCCCACTCCTTTCTCACATTTCACAGAGTTCTTTCCAAGCTCACCATCATCTCCAGTTCACAGTCTAACGCACCACCAGCTTTCTGTGACATGACCTGTTCTGCTTCAAAAGGAGCCAAGGCCATCAGATGAGAAGCCTCTCCCTTCCCCTTCCCCTTCCCCTTTATGTCGGCCAACTGCCTCCTTTTTTGTTGTTGTTGTTGTTATTGTTGCAGCCAAGCCCCTTCTGGCCTGCTGAGCTGCCCCAGCTCTCCTCTAGGAATCCTGTTTAGCACTTCCTGCCTTCCTCCTGCCCCTTTCTTGGAAGCCTCAAAAAAGACAGGTGTCTGTGGGAGGGATGGTACAGAGGATTGAAGCTAGGCCTTCATATGGAGGTACATCCTTAGTCCTCCTCTCCTTTTTTGTTTAATTTAGAGGCAGGGTCTCTCTAAAATCACTAAATTGCCCAGACTAGGTTTGAACTATAATCCTCTATTCTCAGCCTCCCACAGTGCTGAGATTATAGGCATGCACCACCATACTCAGATAACAATAGAGACTTAAATAGCAACAACAAAAAAAGCTCCACCACAGAAACATTCACCCCTGGCAACAGCTCCCCACCTGCAAGGTCACCAAACATATGGGACTTCTTTTCAACCTCTTAGTGTCCTCTCTGTTGTGCCACTGGTTATTGGAGGTCAACAGCTATCCCCCTTGATGTTTCTTCTCATCGTGGTTCTGAGACGCTGCCCTCCTGGCTGTCTTTTCACATTCTAGCCCACTCATTGGTTTCTTTTGGGCTCCCACTATTCATTCTACTGGACAGCACACACAAGTGCACATATATACACTTACTGTGTCCTCTGGCCACTGTACTTCATCCCGTGGGGTAATTTTTCCAACTACCATCTTTCTGATCCACATGTGATCCACATTTGAACGCTAGACCCTAGGAGTCAGCTGCTTCGTGGACCTCTCTCCAGATAACCCTAACACCCCAAATCTGAATTCATCATCTTACAGGGGACAGTGGTGCACTCCTGTAATCCCAGCTACTTGGGAGGGTGAGGCAGGAGGATTCAACGTTTGAGTCCCTTGGTAACACAGCAAAACACTATCTCAAAATAAAAAAAAAAAATGGGGGTATAGCACAGTGGTAGGGCATCCCTGAATTTAATATCCAGTATATAAAGGAGGGAGAGGGAGAGAGAGAGTGAGAAAGAAATACCCAGAGCTGGGGTGCTTCAGAAAGGATAGGCATAAAAGAGGAGGGCTGAAGAAGTAGGCCATGATCTGATACAGAGAGCCTTGAATGCCAGCCAGGAAGCTTAGCCTCTGTCCTGAGCAGACTGTGAGAGCACAGTCAGATTTGCTTTTGGAAGGCTCACACAGCTGATAAGATCAATGATGGACTGAAGCCAGAGAAACTGTAGGCCAAGGCCCAGTGAGGAGGAAGCTCTCTGACATATTCCTGGCAGACGGTAAGGGACATGAACTAGATAGAAGCCATGAGTTGCAGCAAAGGGACAAAATTCAATATATCAAGAAAGTGGAATGGAAGGGACTTCAACTGTTGTGGATATAAGGGAACAAAGGTGGCTAGAAGTCTGTGAGAGTTTAGGACAGCAGAGTTGGGGATAAAATCATAATCTCTTGCTCTTGTTATTTCTCCTCATCTAAATCTCTCTCTCTCTCTCTCTGTCTCTGTCTCTCTCTCTCTCTCTCTCTCTCTCTCTCTCTCTCTCTCTCTCTCTCTGTGTTGTGTGTGTGTGTGTGCACGCGTGTGCACATGCACTCATGTGTGTAGTACTAGAGACTGAATGAGGAGGCCTTAATGCTAGGAAAGTACCACGGGCTATACTGTAAGGTCTTTTTGAGACAAGTCCTTTCTAAGTTGTCCCAGCTGGTCTTAAAGCTGCAGTCCTCCTGCCTCAGCCTCTGTGGCAAGTCCCATTTCTAACTGTTGTCTGATGGTGGTGTGTGTGTGTGTGGGGGGGGCGCCCCACTTCTCACCTACTCCTATTTTTTCATTTGGAAAATATTTATTTCTCTCTTAAGTCTTCTTCTCCATGGGGTTTTTTCTGGAGCTTTTTTCTCCATTCCCAGTAAGCTTTGTACAGATTCCAAATACACTCCTTTTTGCTTGTGCTTGTCGCCCTATGAGTTCCAGAATGGTGCATATTCCCCACTCTCATCTCCTCAGAGCACAGCGCAGACAGGAACATCTGAGGGTATCTCAAGTAATTTTCCATCTTCCTTCTGCCTTGTGACTATGCCAAACCTCTCCTCTGAGGGCCTTTCCTCACTCTCCTGAGACATCCTGGCATCTAAATTCACCAGGCAAAGGGGCTACTGAGGAAGGAGATGCATCTGAGGAATTTCCTCTGCAGATTCATGTTTCCACCCCCACCCCTCTGCTGCCTTAGGAAGAAGTGACATCTTCAACCTTTGCAAGATTAAGTCTTGTGCACTGAAGCCTGTCTTGCCAACACCTCCTCTGCCCACAGCATTTGCCTCTGCTCTAGGGATTCTCTCCCTTCAGTATGTAACAAATCTCTTTGTCAGTCCCAGGTCACCTTCTCATTTCTGCCTACTTTCTTTCTTCCATGGGAGAAATTCCTTTCCTCAACAACCCTCCTAGAGTCTTTCTCACAGATGCCAGATAATGCTGAATCCATGGGTGGCCTCCTTGAGTAGCATATATTATTCTTTATTTTGCTTTGTTCTTTATTTTGCTTGATTCTTTATGGGCTGTGACATCATTAATCATCCATTTGATCCTTTAAATACTCTCTGACCTTGGCTATCTGCCTTCCTCATTCTGGAATCTCCTCAACTTTCTCTAAAGATGTTCCTTGCTTTCTGTCCCTTGGATTTTAGATTGGTATCCTTCCCTAGGGCATTTTCTGTAGCCTGCTCTGGGGAAGAGGGATGGATTATCCAGCTCCCTGAGTGCTGGGAATACAGGCATGAACCACCACGCCCGGCTCCCTGCCTTCTCTACCTTTGTGTGTGTGTGTGTGTGTGTGTGTGTGTGTATGTGTGGTTCTGGAGGATTGAACCTAGGGGCTTTGCATTGAGCTATATCACCAGCTCTTTTTTTTTTTTTTTTTTTTTTTTTTTTGGTCTTTTCCCTTTTTTCCCTTTTTATCCGTACCGGGGATCGAACTCACGACTGCCTGCTTGCAAGGCAGGCGCTTCTGCCGCTGACCTAAATCTCCAGCCCCCATTACCAGCTCTTTTTATTACAACAGTCCTGCTAAATTGCAGGGCTTAGCTTCAGACTTATGATCTTCCTGCCTCAGCATCCCGAGTAGCTGGGATTACAAGCATGTGTCCTGGTGCCTGACATATCTATTCTTTAATGAAATCCAAATCTATTACATAGAACTTCCCCTGAATTCCTCGAGCAGAAATTCTTTTAAATTCTTTTTTTTTTAATCGGCACCGGGGATCAAACTCACAACCTTACACTTGCAAGGCATGTGCTTATGCCGCTGAGCTAAATCCCCAGCATTCGAGCAGAAATTCAACTGCTAACTGCATTTTGCCATTTAGATACCTTGAAATTTAAATTTTCAACAAGCTCAGAATCAAATTTGTTTAGATACAAACATCACTGACACTTGACAATTAACAATAGACCAGGCTTATAAACATACATTTTTATGTGGTCAAGGAGAATTCTAATCCAGTAAGAAAGAAGTTAGACATAAATTATATTGGGATTATTTGAAAACTAACCTGGTTAGCTTCTTATCTCATAACATAAATCAAAATAAATTTGATCAACAAAAAATAAATTCCGCCAGTAAAAAACCATAAGAAAGAAAAACTCTTTTTTGTCTTTTTGAGGAAGGTTTCACTGTAGAGTTCAGGCTGGCTTTAAACTCACAGTGATCCTCTTGCCTCAGCCTCTTCTGTGTACCACCACATCTGGCAAGAAAGAAATATTTTTTGCAGCAAACCTAAAACTGCTCTAAAAAAAAACTTTTTTGAAAAAGAGAAATATGGGCTGGGGATATAGCTCAATGGCACAGCACCTGCATGGCAAGCACAAGGTCCTGAGTTTGAGTCCTGGCACCAAAAAGAGAGGCCAGAGATACAGCTCAGTCATACAAGTGCCTGCATGGCAAGCATAAGGTCCTAAGTTTGATGCCTGGTACAAAAAAAAAAAAAAGGAAATATGAATATTATATTTATCAAATTTCTTCTTTTTTTGTGTGTGTGTCTTTTTTGAGATGGGGTCTCGCTATGAAGTTCAGGCTGACCTTGAGCTCACTTTGTAGCCCAGGCTGGTCTCGAACTCCCAAGGATCCTCCCACCTCAGCCTCCCAAGTGCTGGTATTATAGGTGTGAGCCACCACACCCGGCTAATATTTATCAAATTTCTGAAGAAGCAAACGATCTTTAAACAACAATGAGATATAAGAGGAAAAGGGATGTTCACCAGGTGTGGTGGTGCATATCTGTAATCCTCACATTAAGGAGGCTAAGACAGACAGGAGGATTGTTGTGAGTTTGAGGTCAGCCTGGGCTTCAGAGTGAGTTCGGCCAGCCTGAACTGCACAGCAAGACCCTGTTTAAAAAAAGGTGGGGGGGGGGCATGTTAAGAGGTAACAACAGAGAAATTTAATTCATGTGTTTCATAAATAAAAACACCAATCTGATGATCAAGTTAAAAGGCAAACACATTAAAATATATTTCAATACAAGAGGGGCTGGGGATTTAGCTCAGTGGCATAAGCGCCTGCCTTGCAAAGGTAGTCGTGAGTTCAATCCCCAGTACCGATAAAAAAAATATATATATATTTCAATAAACATATAAAGAATAATCTCTTTAATGTATAAAAAATTCATACAAATGAGTAAGAAAAATACTGACTTTACTAGTTCAGTGCATAAAAAATACGAATAAATGAGAGGGAAAAATGGTCAGCTACAGGGAAAAACCATTCAGTCTCACTAATAATCAAAGAAAGCCAAGTTAAAATAAGAGCAATCATTAATAATAGCATAGATGTTTGCGTTCACCTCCTGGCTGGGCTGCTTCCCCACAGGCCTCTCAGACAGCCTCTCCAGTCCACTCTGCACTGCAGCAGAGTCCTAAGACACTGATCACACACCTCTCCTAACATTCTTTAAAGGTGACAGTGATCAGGGAGAAAGCCCAAGCTCTGTCACCTCGCACACCTTCAGCTTGCACTCTGACCCTGTTCTAGTCTCATTTCCCACATATGTCTCAGTTTGAGTTGTTTCCAGAACTATTCCATACCTTGGTGCCTCCACCTGTGCTGTTATCCATCCTAGCAGACCAACCTTCATTGTCATTTTATTCCTCCAGGAGGACTTCACTGATTCTGCTGGCCAATGTCCTTTGTATGTCCTTCATGTCCCTATTGCACCCTTTCATTCCAGTGACAGCACTGAGCACATGGCATTGTGACCACTCGTACTGCTAGTCTCTTTTACTGGACTATGAGCACCCTAGGGGACTGTGTCATATTCATCTGTATACCCTAGCTCTGCATCTACAGACAGTATGTATAATGTATAATATATGTGAATGGATAGAAAGATGAATGGATGGATGGATGATGTATAAGCAGAGCCATGAGCAAGGTGAAGTGAGAGATGAGAGAAGGGCCAGGTGGGTGGACACCATACCTCTCGAAGGGCATTCTGGACTGCACAGTACCAAGCCCGACTCACGAGGGAGGCCTCTTTCTGATCTGACAAGGGCAGGAAGCTCAGAATGTATGTGAGCATCTAAAGGAAAAAGACAGGGCATTTAGGGGCTGTTAGAGCTGGGAGGCCTTCTGAATCCGCTTCAGCTGATAGCACAGTGGGTCTACTGGGGGCCTTCAAAGTTCATCTTGGGCTCCAACGTTTCAGGACTACTCACTTCTCCCTCCAGCCTGCAAGCATCTTTACTGTGAATAAATCTTTACTGAACCTCTGTCTGGGTACCCCTTTGTGCTAACTGTTAAGAATTGAACTTTCTCAGTTGGATGTAGTGATGCACACCTGCAATCCCAGCACTCAGAAGGCTGAGGCAAGAGGATCACCACAAGTTTGAGGCCAAGCTCAAACACAGCAAGTTCAAGATTGAAGCCAAACTCAAATACATCAAGTTCAAGACCAGCTTGGACTATGTAGGGAGACCCTGTCTCAAGAAAAAAAAAAAAAAAAAAGGCCAAGAATCAAACTTCCTGTTCATTTTGGTAGAAAGTCCCTGGGGTATTGGGGCAAGATAAACCTATGTCAAATCTCTGCTCTGCCAACTGACCTCTCTGAGCCTGGTTTTCCTGTAAAGTGGCAATTGTAGCAAGATGTAAATAGGCTACTATGAGAAGTAGCACAGTATAGTGTTTTGCACAGATCTAGAACACAGCAGGACAGGAGCTCCTCTGATTCTGTGGAGTCCTATTCCTTCCTCCTGTCCTCACTGGGCCAGCCCTGGGACTCTACTCTTTCATCTTCTCCAATGCCAACTTGCCTTCGGGCTGGCTGTTAAGACACCATCCCAGCAACAACCAGTTTAGGCAGCTCTCGTCCTCCCTCCACCTGTTCTATGAAGTTGGCAGTGCTTAATTAGAGGCTCTAACATGGACTCTGATAGGGGTCATTTGTGAGGCTAGGAATGATTTGATATTAACTAGTGTTTTCTTCTAGAATCATCTAAGTCTTATAACACTATTTTCTAGGCTTTCACTCAGCACTTCAGACTGCCATGTTTCGGATTTTTCTGTGCCTCTCAGAGCTTGGACCTAGGTCTTTTAATCTTATTTATAAAAATAGGAATAACCAACAATGTGATAACTTCATATTGTCCTATTTTCCAAGTGCTAGTCCAGCATTGTTGATGTCCACTGGGCTCTTTATTCAAACTGTTCACCATCTTTTTTTTTTTTTTTTTGGTCTTTTTCCTTTTTCATCAGTACCAGGGATGGAACTCACAACCGCACACTTGCAAGGCAGGCGCTTATGCCGCTGAGCTAAACCCCAGACCCATTCACCATCATTTTTGGGGGAGTGATCCAGGCCCTTGCACAAGTGCTCTGAGCTACAAGCTAATTCTCAAACTGCCACTGCTTTCATCTCAACCTAAATTCATACTTTCTCCCCAGTCTAAATTTCCCTTTCAGTACCAAGAATATACCCTGCCTGATAGTCCTGGTAATATATCAGACTTACACTTTTCTGTCCCTGATTTCCATAAACAAGCATGAAACAAGGCCAGGCTAACCTAGACTCATTCAAATCCTAGGTCCACCACATCTTATCTACATGACTTCAGGCAAGGTACTTGACCTTCCTAAGCTGGAGCCTGCATGTGTGAAATGTACATTTTTTTAAAAATCTGCTTTTGTGAACACTAGATTTATAAATGGTTGTTGGAATGGTGATATTATTATTTCTTCCTCTGCAACATCAACACTCTAGTAGCTCAAGTCTTCACTACTCTCTATATAGATTTCTACAATCTCCTTCGTGACCTCCTTGCCTCCAAATTTGTCCTTGCTATTGTATTTTTTATAGTTGCAGGCTAATTTTCCTTTTAAAAAACTGTTTTCAATATCAGCGCACCCCAGTGAAAACTTTCAGAGTTCCCTAGTACTCTCCAGACAAAATCTACTCCTGGGTTAGCAATGCTAGTCCTCTATTCCAGAGTGGGCCTGCTGGTCCCACAGCTTCCTTAATCCATTTTCTCTCCTGTTCTACAAATACAATATGCTTATTCTCTTTGTTTATTTGGGCTCTTTCCTAGGATCTTTTTTTTTTTTTTTTTTAAATCGGTACCAGGGATTGAACTCACGGCCGCCTGCTTGCAAGGCAGGTGCTTATGAGCTAAATTCCCAGTCCCAGGATGTCTTTTCTTAAATTTGACTTCACTAGCCCATCCTGATCTCTCCTTCCCTTTTCAGTTGCTGAGCATATAGTAGGTGCTCGGTTCACTGGATTAAATTAAGGGTGGACAGTACTCTATCTCTATTTTCACCAAAAGTTTGCTCAGGGAGGGAGTAGGGACATAAAGCAGATCACCATTACTAAGAGGAGAATGACTGACAGTACAGCCTCAGTCAGAAAAGGAAGGCATAGTGAAGAAACTATTGATGGGGACTGTGATTAACCAAGTCCTCCTTCTCAGGGGGTGGCAGGGAACCCTCCCTTAACTAAGCTAGTGTCTATCCTTTCTTCTGGGCTGAGTAGCTAGTCCAGGAGCAAAGCAAGAAGGGAACAAACTTGTCATAATTTGGGGCAGGGGCATGATTCATTAAGCTGAGAAAAGGGTGGTCTTTGTAGAGGGACTAGAGGAGGTTGTGAAGAACACACAGTAGTCATCCCATGAGTCACCTCCCAAAGGGCTAAAAGTGATAAATATGATTCGTCATCCATAGGATCTATGGGGATGCATGAATCCTCTGGGGCAAAGAGGAAAGGGATGCCATTGAAGGGAACTCACTGAAGTGGGAGCAGGCCTGTTTTTGCTAAGAAAAGGGAGTATTTCAGGATTGACGGGATAGTGTCATATTTATTGTGGGCAGCAGGAGGAGGCAGATAACCTTCAGAACAAAAGGGATGGAGAAGCCATTCCTAGAAACCACAGAGAACAAAATCTATCTCCTGGTCCACCACAGCATTCTTGTTTCTAGCTAAGCAGAAGGAACAAACATCTCATGGTGTGAAAGGAGTAGGAGCAGCCATCACTAGGGACCTCGGATCTGGGGAGCAAGTCTGTCTTCGCTGTCAAGGGAACGATCATCCTGAGGGGGCCAATAGGGGTAAGATCAGTTATCCCTCAGGGACGATGGGATGGAGAGGATATCTTCCAGACTTGAGGGGGAGAGGACGGCCCTCTCAAGGGAAGGGGGTAGGCAGGAGGTCTGTCCTTGTAAAGTGAGAGGGCAGTCATCTCCCGGGGCTGATGGGGAAAAAGAGGTGGTTCCCCAGGCTAAAGGGTCAGGGTGGCCCAAAAGCGGGCCATTACCCAGACCTTGCAGGTCCCGGGATCCGCCGGGCGGGTCGCTTTCACCAGGCGGTAGTGGTAGGGCAAATTGACAGCCCCTCCCCAAAGCTCGGGACCCCGTGGGCGGGGCTTGTCTAGAGCAGGGCCTGAGGACATTCTCCTCTCACCTCCAGGGGCAGCGACTCCGCCATTGCATCCCTTCAGTATCCACCCCCGCGCAATGCTTTCTGGGAAGTGTAGTCCCAGTGACTCTGGAGGCGTGGCTTAGGAAGGAAGTAGCCCTTACTTCCGTCCAAGAAATTGATGATTTAGATCTGTACCGGAAGTGTATGCTCTGCCGATGTGGTTCCTACTGCCTGTGGTTTCAGTTGCTCGCCCTTGTTTGCCTGGCTGGTTATTTGTGTCGTATAATGGCGGTAAGGAGGGTGGGATCGCCATCAGAAAATTGCTCTGGGCTGAGACTGTAAAAACAGGCCAAGGACAGCAAGAGATGAGGGGGGCGCACTCCAGTGGCCAGACTGTACTAGAGCGCGTGGGGTCCGGGGGTGGCGGGAGACGGTGGCGCAGGACCCTACCAAAGAACTAGTGCTCGATGGGGGTGGACATCACTTCCAGATGTGAACTGCTGCCGCAAAGGCTGGAGAGGGAGTTATTCAACCCCACTGAAGAGGTCGTCAGTCCAAAGCTAAACCTTACCAAAGTAGCTAAAAAAAGTTTTAGCCTAGGATTGAATTGTTTTTTAAGCCAGGAGGAAGCGATCATAGCTGGAGGTTCTATGAAGATGGTGTCAGCTCTAGATCGGATGGGCTGGAGGGGAGGGGTGAACATCCCAGGGACTGTACAAGGTTTGAGTGCCTAATCAGGCCGGTGTGGGAAGCGAGGAGGACCGTGCTTGAGAAGAGACCTGATGGCATCCTATCATCCCTGTGCAGCCCAAGGGCAAAGTGGGCACAAGAGGGAAGAAGCAGATATTTGAAGAGAACAAGGAGACCCTGAAGTTCTATCTGCGGATCATATTGGGGGCTAATGTAAGTACCTGCCTATTTTCTGTGCTCACTTATAGCCCCACAGCCCTCAGATATGTGTGGTGAGGAATGGTGGTGCCAAGGCATCAGAAGAGAACTACAGTCAAAAAGAAAATGGTGTATGGCTCACATGTAGAGCACTCGTCTAGCATATTTGAGGATTAGCCCCCATTACTAAAAAAAAAAAAAAAAAAAAAACAAACCACCTAACCAACCACTAACAACAAAAACCCCAGGAAGGATCAGTGCACCTGGAAGTTGCTGACTAGTAAAAGCGAATACAGAAAAAAAGCAGTGGAGTGAGTCCCAGCTAGATTTCACAGCCCTTCCCTTCCCAGATACACAGAACCTTTATTCTTAGTCTAATGTGGGCATCAAAAGGCAGGACTTTTTTTTTCTAACCTTGCAAAAAAAAGAAAAAAAGAAAGGAAAAAAAATCTGGCTCCTGCTACAACCTTGCCTAATTCTTGGTCAGAGATGAAAGTAAGTCTAGGTTTTGGGAGTAGCTCTAGTTCTCCCAGCATGACCCTGCTTTTGCTTACAGGCCATTTACTGCCTTGTGACCTTGGTTTTCTTCTACTCATCTGCCTCATTTTGGGCCTGGGTAAGTGTCCTCATCCTGGAAAGCGGGTGAGTGTATAGGGTCAATGGCTGGTTTTTGACACTTATGTTCTTGCTCTGCAGATTGCCCTGGCCTTTAGTTTGGCAGTTTATGGGGCTAGCTACCACTCTATGAGCTCGATGGCTCGAGCAGCCTTCTCAGAAGATGGGGCCTTGATGGATGGTGGCATGGACCTCAACATGGAGCAGGGCATGGCAGAGTGAGTGTCCCCCACCGCCAGCCCAGGTGAGCGGGCCCCAGGGCTGGGGCGCTGGGGCCCAGAGACCCCAAGACCTATAACCTGTAACTTGAAGAGAGTAGGAAGGAACTAAATAGGGACCCGTCTACTGCCTTTACAGCCTCCCTTCTGTCCATAGGCACCTCAAGGATGTGATCCTGCTGACAGCCATCGTGCAGGTGCTCAGCTGCTTTTCCCTCTACGTCTGGTCCTTCTGGCTTCTGGTGCGTAGGCTAGGATTCCTAAGAAAGTGCCTAACCCTCACTCTTCATTCTTTGTACCAGATTTCTAGTTATTTTTTTTCTCTTAGGCTCCAGGCCGAGCCCTTTACCTCCTGTGGGTGAATGTGCTGGGCCCCTGGTTCACGGCAGACAGTGGGGTCCCAGCACCAGAGCACAATGAAAAACGGCAGCGCCGACAGGAACGGCGGCAGATGAAGCGGTTATAGCCATTAACACTGTGGCCACAGGTTGCCAGGTGACTATCAGGCTGCATGTCCTCTGTGCATGGAGCAGTGAGTCCCTAGTCCAGGGCCAAAAGCAGCCCAAGGTAGAGGATTGTTAAATAAATGGTTTAAAATATGGCTAATGACTGTCTGGATGATAATGAGGACAAAGCAGGAAGAACTAGTCTTATGGTATAGGCCCAAGAAGGGGCAGGTTGGTTTGGAAGAGGAAAAGGGTTGGGTGTGGTATCTGGGAGCTTGGAGTAGGGGGACTGCAAGTTTGATCTCAGCCTGGACAACTTTGCCTTAATGAAGATCTGTCTCCAATTAAAAAGGGACAAAGGGTTGGGGATGTAACTTAGTGCAAAGGCCCTGGGGTCAATCCCCAGTACCACAAAAAAAGAAAAAAAGAAAAAGAAAACAAAGAACAAGAAAAAGTCTCTTAGATAAGCTAAGAAAACTTTATTTTGCTCCCTGAGTAGGGAGCTTACATACACACATGTACAAATGCATACACACACGCACACGCACACACATGCGCTCTAATACTGCTAAAAGCACTGGTTGCCCACTTGGCACCAGGTTCTGGAACCAGAATTCTGTTCTGGGCCCTCTTTGCTCTATAATCTCATACTATAGGCTGGGCTCTAGATAGACTCCAGGAGGCAGCACTCTCACACCTCCAGGCCAGGAGTCTTGCTTAGTCCTAGTGCCTGCACCAGGTCATCTCCAAGCCCGCTCTTCAACGTTCGCCTCACTGCAGAAACAGAATAGGATTGGAGGGGGTTGTGGGGTTGAGGTGGGCAGTAGGCTTGTGAACCATACTTACAAGACTTTCGGTTGCCACGGGAACGCTTCCTTTCCCGAACAGCTAAGGCTCGAGGACTGTTCTTGGTTACTGATTGCACCAACAGGTCCATGATCTCATCTGATGTGTCGCTGGGTAAGCTGGAGCCTGGGGGTTCATCAGGGAGTGTAGTGGAGGGCCCCACTGCTATAGGCACAGTTGGGGAGCCGCTCTGGACCATGCCTGAGGGAGACCAGGTAGGGAGGTCAGGCCAAGGTGGCCTAGGATCCATTTCCCCCCCAGCAGCTATGGGTCCCACCTCTGCTGCGGCGGCCATGTGTAGTGTCCTCAGGCCTGCTGGTCAGCAGACTCTTCATATTGGCATGATTGTTGGCATCACCCTGGCCTGGCCCACTCCCCACGGCCACTGGGACAGATGGGTTGTTGGGGACTTCCCCAGCCACGCCTGAGAACTTCTCTGTCTGGAGAAGGGAAAGGGTGAGTAGAGGCAAAGAACTGTGGAAGTGACAGTCATTTAGAAGGAGATCTACCTCAGTGATCATGCGTCCCCGGGTCTTGTTACGTTCACGGTAGGTGGCCCGCTTCTTCTGCTGCTGCAGTACCCGTTCCCAGCAAGTCCGATACTCAAGGGCAAACTCCCGCAGAATGTGACAGAACTGCATGATGCGCACTTCACGAGCCGTCTGTGCAGTGTAGCCCAGGTAGAGCAGGAAGGCATGGAACCTAGGCAGGTTGGAATGGGAAGGGCTGTGGAGCCCTGCTTGGTGTCTGAGGAATGGTGGACAGTCCTACCTCTCCCTACCCTGCGCCCCTACCTGTTGCAGACACGGCGATGTACTACCTTCAGCATGGCAACTCGACGGGCACATTGGGCCAGGAAGTGGGTGAGGCGGGCACGCAGGGCTGGGGCTAGCTCATGCTTGGCCAAGCTCCGCAGGCTTTCCTCAGCTGTCCGGCTCCGGCGCTCTAGCTGTCCCAGGTTCTCAGTTAGTTGCTCAAAGTCTACCTGGAAGAACAAGTGAAAGCCTGGGCATGGTGGTACCTGCCTGTAATTCTAGCACTTAGGAGCCTGAAGCAGGAGGACTGCAACTTCAGGGCCACCTAGGGCTACAAAACGAGTTCAAGGCCAGCTGGACTACATGGTGAGATCCTGTCTAGAAACAGCTAAGTGAGGACGTGTGTTATCCTTCCATAGAGAAGACTGCCTGAGGCTACTTCTGTACCAGGCTGGCCAGCCTTAACCTTAGGGACATGGCTGAGATCTGCCTCTGCTTTCCAAAACCTCATAGTCTAATACCAGAGACAGACAAATCCATTTGATTTATAGGGAACAGATAAGACTTCTCGGAGGGAGTAACAGATAAACGGACCCAAAGACAGTAGATATAGCCAGGACAAGAAAGAATGCTTCTGGGAAAAAACATAGTTCACACACCTGTAATCTGAGTACACCCTGCCACAGCAGCTTAAATAGGGAGAAGGAGGAAGAGCCAGACTTAGAAAGTAGTGTATACGTGTGTCCCAGCCAACATGTCTGATCTCTGGTTGATGCTAACCTTGGCACAGCGTGTCAGGGCAGGAATCTCTGAATAAAGGTCGGAGGAATCAGGCCTGGTCTGGAGTACCAGAGAGCAGAGATGGTACAGCAGTGATTGCCGGCGCACCGTGTCCTTCACCTCTGACACCTTCTCCAGGTAGCTCAATTCAAAGCCCCTGCTCTGAAAGGACTCTGTCTGAGCTTGGGCCTGGACAGCTCCAGAGCCCTGAGCCCCAGCCAGTGTGCTCTCACCTGGGACCCATTGAGGAAGTTGCCCACAGCCAGCAGGGTAGCCAAGATGCAGCGGAAGGTGGTGTTCTGCACCAGCTGTTCCATGCCCACTTTTAGGTCAAACAGTGGCTCTGCAATTTCCTGGTGTGGGGGACCAGGGGCCCTCAGACTATATGGTCATTATCGTTTGCCCATCCCTACTGCCTGCCCCTCTCCATGACCCAGATACCCGCTCCATGCTGTCATAGTCCAGCTTGAAGGCCCAGAGTTGTAGGCGGGCAGCCAGGCCCCCGATGGAGGCAAGAGTCATCAGGAAATTCTCAGCTGGGCCCAGGGGCACATCAGGATTGGCTAGCTGGGCTTCCTGGATCT